CACAAAATACAATTTTATTAGAATGTATGTAGTGAGAATCCTAAATATAAGTACTAAATTGATCTGCTTATTTTAGATGTTAAATCATTTAGCAGTAATTTTCGAAGTACAGAAACTTCCACTAAAATCTAAAATACTTCTTTCTGTCTTCAGCCTCCCTTCCTCTTCCCCTCTCCCACTCCCCTTCCCCTCACTGGTTACTTTTCTTCTCCTGCCAAATGGATGAAGAGGCACAAAGAAAGAGATAAGGGGCCGGGTGCTGTTGGGGCTGGATGTGGTACCTCACCCCTATAATCCCAGCACTTTGAGAGGCTGAGGCGGATGAATATCCCAAGGTCAGGAGTTCGTGACCAGCCTGGCCAACCTGGTGAAACTCCATCTAAAAATTTTGTACTAAAAAATACAAAAAATTAGCTGGGCTGGTGGTGGGTGCCTGTAATCTCAGCTACTCGGTAGGCTGAGGCAGGAGAATCGCTTGAAGCCGCTAGGGGAAGGTTACAGTATGCCGAGATTGCACCACTACACTCCAGCCTAGGCGACAAGCAAGACTACATCGCAAAAAAAATAAAAGAAAAGAAAAAGGAGGAGGTCGGGCTTACTGCCCCTTGGGCCTGATAACTGGGATGGAGCTGCCTTGAAGGGAGGCAGGAGTATTGGGGGATGGGCACGAGCTGGGTTTTGGCTGCGTTAATTTCAAGGTATTACTGACGTTAGGCAGCACTTGGATAGAGGCATCTGGAGGGCACAGGAGAGCACAGGGCTGCAGTGATTTATTTGGGACACTTGTACACATATATTTGAAGTTGCTAGGCAAGCGACCAGGGGCACCGACTGAGTCCTGAGTGTCTCCAGCATTAAGTGGTCAGGAGAAGCGGTAACCCCTGAGATCAGGAGCACTGGGAGGGGCTATGTCCTGGAAGCCCTGGGCAGGAAGCGTTTCCAGGGGAAAGGAGGGAGTGACTGTTGGTCAGCAGGTCATCTGAGAATAACACTCCATCACTGGTGACCTTGACCAGAGATTCTCTGGCCCAGGGAGGGAAGATGCTATGAGGACAAAATGCTGTCCCCTCTGGACAGGCAAATTAAAGACAAAGGCAAAAACAGCACAGAGGCCCAAAGCTCACTCTGCAGAGGGTAACTGAGTAGCCACTTAGGCTGGAACCTCTGTATGGGACCCCAGTTGGCCAACTATCAGCCGGTGCTCAAAGCTCAGCTTGCAGAGCAGTGGTGAATGTGTACACAGAGCCCAGGGCTGCCACCTACAAGGTGCCAGTTGTGCAGCTGGCTGCCACCCGAGGGTGCACATACATAGCAGTGGATCCCACCAAGGGGCCTCAGAGAGGACGTGGGGGCTGAAAGTGGCATCAAGACCCTGCTCAGGGAATCAGCTCATTTCATCCACAGAAGGGCTGTTTCCCCTTTAAGAGAGGCTGGCAGGCTGGGCGTGGTGGCTCATGCTTGCAACCCTAGCACCCTGGGAGACTGAGGCAGTCAGATCACCAGCCTGGCCAACATGGCGAAACCCTGTCTCTACTAAAAATGCAAAATTAGCAGGGTGTGGTGGTGCGCACCCAGCTACTCAGGAGGCTGAGGCAGGAGAATCACTTGAACCCGGGAGGTAATGTTTCAGTGAGCTGAGATTACACCACTGCACTCCAGCCTGGGCGACAGAGGGAGACTGGAGACTCTGTCTCAAAAAAAAAAAAAAAAGAAAAAGAAAAGAAAGAGAGAGAGGCTACCAGCCTTTCCCTGTGAAGGAACCTTTCATCGATCAGGATTTGGTCTGAGCCTGTGGAGTAATTAGGGATAGAATGTAGTGGGGAGGTTGTTTTCTGGCTCTGGGCATCTGAACAAGGTTCTGCTCTCTGAACCTTGTCAAGGGACATACCCCCATTCCATGGAGCTCAATCTGTGGCAGTGGAAGGCACAGAGGGCCCTTGTCCACCCTAGAGACTCTTACCAGTTTCCCTTTGTTCTCCTTAATTTTGTTTTTTCCCTTAATTTTGTCTCAGTTTTTTTTAAATTATAAAAGTAAAACATGCCCATCAAATATAACAGTATAAAAGGGTATAGAGAAAGGTGTAATAGCCTCCTTCCCAAACTCCAAATGCCCCCAGAGGTGACCACTGTTACTGCTTCTGGACGTTTCCAGGGCAGTTCAAGCCCACACACTCCCATTGTTTCTGTGCAGGCAGATGGCTCCATGCATTCTGTTCCATGATTTGCTCTTTCACTAATAGCATGTCTTGGATATCATTCTGCACTTCATTCAGCCACCTCCACCATGTTCTCCCTTGGGTAGCTGTGGCCCCTGTTGAGTCCCTGTGCCCTGTTGCTATTGCTTTAGGTTGTTTCTGGTTTGGGGCTATTAAAAATAATGTTGCTAAGAGCCCCCTTCTCTTGTGTCTTTTGTGAAGAACCCTAGGTCGAGTTCTTAGAAGTGGAACTTCCAAGTCCAGGGTTAGGAACCCTTGATTTTGTAACATCCTGACCAATTGGCCCCCTGAAATGTTGTGCCCTTTTACCTGACCACCAACCAAATATAAGTGAGGGCCTGTTTGTCTTCCCTATCCTTTTCCATAACTGGGCACTACCAGGCTTTTTAGAGGGTGCCCATCTGGAAGGGGGTACGGTTGAGCATCCCGAATCCAAAAATCCAAAATCCCAAATGCTCCAAAATCCAAAATGTTCTGAGTACCAACATGATGCTCAAAAGAAATGCTCATTGGAGCATTTCAGAGTTCAGATTTTCAGATTTGGGATGCTCAATGGCATGTATTCTGCAAATATTCCAAAATTTAAAAAAAATCTGAAATCTAAAACATTTCTGGTCCCCAGTGAGAGATAAGGGATCCTTAGCCTGCCAAAGCTGCCTTTCTTTAATTTCCATCCCTAAGTGGTGATGTCATTTATCTGGATGCCCAGGCCCTTCCAGGCACTTTATTTCTCGAGGGCTCTCTTGGATAGACAGACTTCAGCAGGCACTGAGGCCTGGGAATGGACCCCGGGGTCTCTGCCTGGCCCGCGGCCGCCCTGCTAGAGGCCTCATAGATCTCTTGAACTTGTTGGCTTATCTCTAGGAAGATACTGGGGAATTCCCAATTGAGTCCACCCATGGCTCTAACAAGGTGCTAAACTTTTTTTGACCAGAACCTGTAGCGGGAAATACGCATGTTTGTGAAAAACTTTCACAATACAGTACTCCTCCATCACATAGAGTGTATTGTGAGAATTTGTGCTTTAGTCATGAGACCTCACATTCTCTCTGTTTTCCCTAAGAGGCCCTTAGGAGTTCTGAACAGCCCATCTTGGGCTGGGGGGTTTTCTGTGACTTTAAAGACCTGGAAAACATCCTCTACCGAAAGTATTTAGGATGAGTTCTTTTTTTTATTTTTTATTTTATTTCTTATTATACTTTAAGTTCTGGGGAACATGTGCAAAATGTGCAGGTTTGTTACACAGGTATACACGTGCCATAGTGGTTTGCTGCATCCATTACCCTGTTATCTACATTAGGTATTTCTCCTAATGCTATCCTTTCCCTAGCCCCCCACCCCAACAGGCCCTGGGTGAGGATGAGTTCTTTAGTCCTTAGAGTGAGGCCCTTGGATTGTGAAGGGGAAGCCATGCAGGAGACCCTGACTTGACCTTCACAGATTTCCATGGGCTTTTTCTCTTAGGCTGCTCTAAACCTGTGTTCCTGCGAGTGGGGTACAGCACACAGGGTTCATTTGCCTAGACTGTGGGCCCAGCCCTTCTTGGCTGTCCACTGTTACCACACACTGGGGCTGGGGCCATAAGAACAGGGTGTGGCCTTCAAAAAGGGGTCTGGGAAGACCCACCACCCCACAAGGCTTCTGTGGAGGGTCCTGCCCCACCCCAGCCTCCTTCTCTCACTTTGGGTTGAGGGGGTGGCCCCTCTCTAATCAGTCTCTCTGTTCCACCTAATCACAGTGCCTCTCTGTGCCTTGTCAGTATGAGTCTTTCCCCTTCCCAAGAATCCCAGAAGCCCCGGTAACCACCAGGAAGGGTCTTTTTTTTTTTTTAAGACAGAGTCTCACTCTGTTGCCCAGGCTATAGTGCAGTGGTACAATCCTAGCTCACTTGTAACCTCTGCCTCCCAGGTTCAAGCAATTCTACTGCCTCAGCCTCCGTTGCCATTTTTATCCTATTTCAACAAGTAGTCCTGGCCTGGTGTGGTAGCTCATGCCTGAATTCCCAGCACTTTGGGAGGCTGAGACAGGAGGATTGCTTAAGCCCAGGAGTTTGATACTAGCCTAAGCAACATAGCAAGACCCCATCTCTACAAAAAATAAAAGTTAGCTGGGCATGGTGGCACACACCTATGGTCTCAGCTACTCATCCAAATCTGAGGTGTGAGGATCTCTTAAGCCTAGAAGTTGGAGGCTGCAGTGAGCTATGATTGCACCACTGCACTCCATCCTGGGTAACAGAGCAAGACCCTATCCTTCCCCTACAAAAAAAGAGAAAAACAAAAAAGTGGTCCTTAATGAAATGCTTCTAAAAATTACTTTTGAACAGTGGCTGATGCTTGTAATCCCAGCACTTTGGGAAGCTGAAGCAGGCGGATCACGAGGTCAAGAGATTGAGACCATCCTGGCTAACACGGTGAAACTCTGTCTCTACTAAAAACACAAAAAATTACCTGGGCATGGTGGCATGCACCTATAGTCCCAGCTACTCAAGAGGCTGAGGCAGGAGAATTGCTTGAAGTAGGCAGAGGTTACAGATCACTCCTCTGTACTCTAGCCTGAGTGACAGAGCGATACTCTATCTCAAAAAAAAATTACTTTTGGTTTTCCTTTTCATAAAAGCAATGTCTGCTTGCAGTAGAAACATCAGGAAAGATGGAAAAGAGAAAAACCACCATGACCCCACCTGGTGACTTATGACCCTAGGTATAGAGTTAATGTTTTAGTTGAGGGAGTCTCATGACTGGCCTCTGGGCTCTCATCTGACCTGCTGCATTGTCCCTACAGGGAAGTCCCACCTGGCCATCGTGCAGAAGGTGAACAACGAGGGTGAGGGCGACCCCTTCTACGAGGTCCTGGGCCTGGTCACCCTGGAGGATGTGATCGAGGAGATCATCAAGTCAGAGATCCTGGACGAGTCCGACATGTACAGTGAGTGCCGCCCTCCACAGGGCCCAGGAACCATTTCCTGCTTGCATCCAAATCTGGTGTCCCTAGCTTGAAGGGCTAGGGACACTGGGGGCCCAGCACTGGCCAGGGTGAGCAGGGAGCAGGTTTCTGAGAGCAGTGCCTGGAGGCTGCCTTCACCCTCAGCCTCTGTGCCTCGGTGTCAGCCCGGGACCCTGCCAGCCAGAACCTGCTGCTCCTGCATGGAATGAGGGGCTGGAGAGCAGGAGATGCAGGTGGGTTCCAGTCTCTTCCTGGGTCCTCAGGGAGCTGTGTTCTCAGTTCCACACTTTTCCTCCGGCAGCTGACAACCGAAGCCGGAAGCGGGTGTCTGAGAAGAACAAGCGGGACTTCTCTGCCTTCAAGGATGCAGATAACGAGCTCAAAGTAAAAATCTCCCCACAGCTCCTCCTGGCCGCTCATCGCTTCCTGGCCACAGGTAGGAGTGTGAGGAGGACCTTCCGGTCTTGGTGGAAGTACAGTCACAGGGGAAGAAGTCCTGGCTCTCTGGCTACTTCTCCCCCATAGCATGAGGGCTGCAGCAGGTGAGGGGTGCGGAGACAACACAGCCTCCCTGGAAGGGGCCAGGTGTCTCCTCGACCACTGGGGATCTCCCTCCAATTCATTTGCCATCAGTGGGCTGCTATTGCAAACTTCTAGGAAGCATCCAAGTTATTATATTTAATAGTTTCGAAAATAATGACTGGGCATTATGGCTCACACCTATAATCCCAGCACTTTGGGAGGCCAAAGCAGGAGGATTGCATGAGCCCAGAAATTCAAGACCTGTCTGAGCAACATGGCGAGAACCCATCTCTACAAAAAATACAAAAGCCAGGCATGGTAGTGCCCATCTGTAGTCCCAGCTACTCAGACAGTTGCATGCCTGTGGTCCCAGCTACTCAGGAGGCTGAGGTGGGAGGATCACTTGAGCCCAGGAGTTTGAAGCTGCAGCAAGTTTTGAATGCACCATGCACTCAGCCTGGGCCACAGAGCAAGATTCTGTCTCAAAAACAACAAAAAAGAAAATAACCACTGAGGTGGGCCCCTGGGCTAGCCAGGCCCTTCAGGGCTTGTGGAATGGTAAGAAGGGATCCTTCCTCTTCTGTGGGCCTGCTAGGTGTGGCCAGACCTCTTGTGTGCTCAGGCACTCTGAGAGCTTGCATCCAGCTCTGCTCTCATCTCTCTGGCCCTCCCCTCTGCAGACGTATGTTGGTTCTCGCAGGAATTCACCTCCAGTTGAGAAATATTTTTCTCTTTCCAGCCCTGATTCAAAGCTCTGTTGGGGACTTGGGTAACAGGTCCTGCTCTGCCCACTGTGTCCCCTTCCCACCCAATTCATCTTTCTTCCCACCTTACTTGCTAAAGGGTGGTAATTCCATCTCCATTATTTTTCCTGTGGGATATTAATGCTGATGCAATAAGTATAGTCACATTTACTAAGCGCTGTCCATATGCTATCCCATTCGCCCTCACAACCACTCCGTGAAGCTTTTACCCCCATATTACAGATGAGGAAACTGAGACACGGGTTGAGTAATTTGCCCAAGGTCACATGCTGTTCTTGCAGGAGCCACTGTTCAAGCCTAGGCAGGCAGGCAGCCTAGGGTCCAACCAGTCAGAAGCCAAGTGTGCTCCTTGCCCAGGGAGGTGCAGAACTGAGGGTGGGCCGAGCAGGGAGGGAGTCCTCCGAGCACAGCACGGCTGCTGTGGTTAGGGTGGAGGCATAGCAGTGTTGAAACTTCAGGGCTGCCTGGCCGGCCCCATGTGAGGTCTCCTCTCTCTCCTCCTACAGAGGTCCCCCAGTTTAGTCCCTCCCTGATATCAGAGAAGATCCTGCTGCGGCTGCTCAAGTACCCAGACGTCATTCAGGAACTCAAGTTTGACGAGCATAACAAGTACTATGCCCGCCATTATCTGTACACCCGAAATAAGCCAGCCGACTACTTCATCCTCATCCTGCAGGTGAGCCGCTCAGCCCTGGGCCTGCTGCCTGCTCCCCCTGGCACCACAGCTGCCCCCACCCCCACCCCGGGGCCTCTCTCCTGCCTGCTTCAGAGGTACGTGGCTTCCCAGCCTGGGGAGCCTGCTGCCTGCCCTACACGGCCGTCCTCTCCCTGAGAGGCTACCCTTGATCTCACAGGTCAGGCCCTGAGCTCTCCAGGGCTCCAGTACTGGCCCTTCCTCCAGCCCCACTGTCCCTCATTCCTCTCTCCCCCTCCTGCCTCATCCTGTGTTTACTCCCTCACTCTGTCTCTAACCCTGGTCCTGTGTTCTTTTAGGGGAAGGTGGAGGTGGAGGCAGGGAAGGAGAACATGAAGTTTGAGACGGGTGCCTTCTCCTACTATGGGACTATGGCCCTTACCTCGGTCCCTTCCGGTGAGTTGTTGGGCAGGGTTTGTGCTGCCCTCTGGCTCCCCTGCAGCTAGGCCATGGACCGACACCAGAACTGAGTGCGGGCCCCAGAGCTCATAGCCAGTCAACTGGAGCAGAGGGAGGCTGCTGAGCGGGGAGCGGCCAGACCCTGGAGCGAGTGGCATGGAAGAGCAAAGGGAGCTGCCCCTTTGAACGGGGTCCAGAGGCTGGAGGGGAAGAGAGGAGAGAGGGATTTTAGAGCAAGAGCCTGAAGGCAGCAGGGGGCATGCCCAGAGGTGTCAGGAGACCAGCCTGCCTGGGGAAGAGGCCTGTAGGGAGGAAGGCCCAGGGCCCTGCTCCTGAGGACAGGAGGGGAATCTAGGCGTCCAAAGTGCCCTGGGGCAAAGAGCCAGGCCAGAGCCTGTTTGCCAGGGCAGGTTACAGATGGGTTTGGCTTTGCAGGGGACGCAGCTACTGGGTTTTGGTTAGATGTCAGCTCCAATGGAATAAAGGGTCTTGGGGACAGACAAGCGAGGGGAGACTGGGCACCCTCCGAGAGGTGTTATGGAAAGTTTGGTGACGCCCTGCTCTGGCCGCCCTGGTGCCTTCTCCTGTGCTGAGTGGCTCAGGCTGTCCCTACAGAGCCTCACAGGCAAGACTCCACAGGCCTGGGTCTCGCCAGCTCATCTCCTTGCTCTTCTCCGGCCTTCCATCCTGGGGTGGGGGGATTGCTGCGGTGTAGACAGAGAAAGTCCACTTTGGTGCTGGAGAACAGGCCACACCAGTGGGGGGTGTGCTACAGCTCCCAGAGAACCTCTGTGCCGTGCCTGTCATTGTCCTTTGACAAAAAGGATCCAGAGGGCCATGGGGGTAGGGCACCCATGAATATTGACACCCTGCTTAGCTTATCCACTGTGTGGATAGCTTATCCTTGGCCCCTCCCCCAGATGAGTGGGGCGCAGCAGGCTCCCTGGGCACAGGAAAGAGAGGGCTACAGAGTGGGACTCTGAGAAGGTGGACCCTGCCAGATGCCTCAGGCCCAGGGAGGACTTCCTATGCCCCATTCAGCTTGAGGAAATCTCACTCAGAAGGCAGACGGGCAGGCGTGGGAGGCTTCGTCCAGGCACTCCTCATGCAGTGAAGTCTCAGAGGCCTGGTCAGGGCCTGGGTTCTGTCCCTCTACCCATAGTGTCTCCATTCCTACTTGATGTGGCTGGAAGGGAGGGGAGATGACTAGGCACACTCAGCCAGTTTCTGCCCGTCTCCACACAGGGCTTATTGCTCTGCCCTGAGCACCCTTCCCATCAGAGCCATGTCCCTTTCTCCACTGGGCCCGTCTGTCCAAAGCAGCCTGGCCCCATCAGGTCTGCCTCTGTCCCGTGCCTGTGACTCCGTGTCCTGTCTCCTGACTGCACCCATCACTGACCTTCTCTTTTGCTCCAGTGCCTTCAGTCCAGGTCGGGTATCCGCCTGGCAAGCGGAACTCCCTGCTCTGCTGGCTTACAGGTAACATGGCATGGCTGAGGGTCACGCTGCCACCTGCCGCCTAAGCCTTCACACTGCAGCTGCATTAACCTCCCCATAGGGACTGGGCGCCTGCCTGCTCAATGTGGGCTGCCCGACCTCAGTGGCTCTGCTTGGCTAGGGCCCAATTCATGGCCAGCTTTGCTGCCTCAGTTCTAGAAGAGCCGAAGGGCTCCCCCAAAGGTCTCTTAGTCCTTGAGATCACATACACAGAGACCTACCACACACAGATACAAACACAGAGATAAAACGCACACAGATACCATGCACACACAAAGAGATACCACACACACAGAGAGACACAGATACATGCACCCATAGACACACACACACACTGGTACGTACACATGCCTATAGAGAGACACACACAGAGATATCACACACACCCATAGACACATTCACAGAGACACAGAGATACCAAACACACACAGTCACACACAGATACACCCACAGACATACACAGAGATACTACACACAGAAACACACATGCAGATACACACACCCATAGACAAACACACATACAGATATATACACCCACAGACACAGAGACACAGAGGTACCACATACACCCATAGACATACATACATACACACATCCATAGACACACACACACAGAGATATAACCATAGACACACCAAGATACATACAACCATAGGCACCGAAACACCCATAGGTATACACACACACACACACACAGATACACATCCATAGACACATGCACAGAGATACACACCCATAGGCACACACACAAAGAGACACACACAGATGGACACATACTCGGAGACACACACAGAATCACACCCATAGGCACACACAAATACATATCCATAGACACACAAACAGATATATATATATACAGATACATCCATAGACAAACAAACACTGAGACACACAGATACCACACACAGATGCACACAGATACACACACCCATAGACACAGACACCACGCAGAGATGCCACACACAGAAACGGAAACACACATCCATAGACACACACACACAGAAACACCCACAGACACACACACATGCACCCAGAGGATAGGCTGGGAATGGAGGGTTGCTACTGGCCCAGCCAAGTGAGCACCAGCCAGCCTGCTGCCCTCCACAGCTGAGAGGAGATGCACCCCAGCAGGTCAGCACTTCCTGCTCCAGGCCACCCACACACCTTGGCAGGGTGACTTGTCATCTCATCAGCTTTCTCTAAAAGACTTTCCGACTTTCTTCAGCTTCCCGTTCAGCTGCTGGCCCAGTAGGCAACTGTGAGGCCCTGAGGAGCATGGCCGCGGGTCACACTGCGCGTTCAAGAGCCGCCTCCACAGTTGCTGGCTAAATAATAGTCTTGGTCTTTGCTTTCTCCTCTGTGAAATGGGAACAATACATGTACCCACTTCAGGAGAGTACGTGAGGGAATTGATGTAAAATGTTGAGTTAGAGCTCAATTATTATTATTGCTGGCTTTTTTTGCCTGATTATAACGAAAATGTGGCATTCCAACCAGAAAGTCTTTCACGAAAGGCCAATGCCATATGCTGCGTCTGGCCCTGGATGTGTCACGTTCCTGATACCTGTCCAGGGAGTTGGTGGGAATAATGGGGCCGGACTCATTCAACTTGAGGTTTGCTGGGATTCCTGCGTGCACCCAGGCTGCAGAGGACACAGTATGGTGCTGGTCTCATCAGCTGTGGCCTGTGCCCCTCAGGAGCAGCATCAGCATCTTTGAGCGCCTCACACCCCAGTGGCCCTAAACACCCATCACCTCAGCCTGGGGATTCCCATTTGTACAGCTGGTCCTTCTTCCATCCAAACTGTTCCAAGGCATACTCTGCTATTTTGACCCTCTGTTTAATAAATAAGTAGATGAAAAGGTAACTTAGAAGCAGTTACTCCCGGTCCCTTTCAGACCTCCCCGGTGTGAACTCAGTCTCTTTCCCCTCCTCTGTGCTTGCTCTGGTTTCATGGATGGCCAGGAGGTGATACACCGGTGATTTGAATCCTGACATTTTTATCCACTGTGAGGACAGAGGCAATTTGCCATAAGCTTTCTGGTCAGTCTCACAGTGTTCCATAGAGCAGGTGTGCCTTGATTGATTAGTTCTTGCATATTTATGCAATTTATGGAGGTCTGTATTATAAATAATATCATGATACAAACTTTTTTACGCAAAAAAGCAAAAAACTTTTCCTTTGTTTAAGGCTATGTCCTTAGGATATCCTTTCAGCAATAAAATTACCAGGTCAAAACCTTGTAGTTTTTGTTTTATTTATTTTTTGGGCTGGGCACAGTGGCTTACGCCTGTAATCCCAGCAATTTGGAGGCCAAGGCAGGCAGATCACGAGGTCAAGAGATAGAGACCATCCTGGCCAACATGGTGAAACCCTGTCTCTACTAAAAATACAAAAATTAGCTAGGTGTGGTGGCATGCGCCTGTATCCCAGCTACTCAGAGGCTGAGGCAGAAGAATTGCTTGAACCCGGGAGGTGGAGGTTGCAGGGAGCTGAGATTGCGCCACTGCACTCTGGCCTGGCGACAGAGTGAGATTCTATCTGGAAAAAAAAAAGTAAGGTAGCTTATTGGGAAAATAGAAAAGTCTTGAGAAAATTAAAAAGCATCATAAGTTCATCCATCAGAGACAAAATGTATTTTGGTGAATTTTTTCTAGGACTTCTGTTTTTTGGGTTGTTTCAACAGATACATTCTTTCTCTGTCACCCAGGCTGGAGATCAGTGGTATAATCTCTCCAAGAAAGCTGCAGCCTCAGCTTCTTGGGCTCAAGCGATCCTCCCACCTCAGCCTCCCAAGTAGCTGGGACTACAAGCAGGTGCCACCATGCTGGGCTAATGTTTTTAAAAAAACTTCTTGTAGAGATGGGGGTCTCACTGTGTTGTCCAGGATGGTCTCAAACTCATAGGCTCCTCCCACTTCAGCCTCTCAAAGCACTGCGATTATAGGGATGAGTCACTACACCTGGCCGGACCTCTAATCTTAATAGATCATGTCACTAATTTGTTTTTGTTTTTGTTTTTGTTTTTCTTTTTGAGATGGAGTCTTGCTTCAACACCCAGGCCTGAGTGCCGTGGTGTTATCTCGGCTCACTGCAACCTCTGCTTCCCGGGTTCAAGTGACTCTCCTGCCTCAGCTTCCCAAGTAGCTCGGACTACAGTCGTTCACTACCATGCCCAGCTTTTTTTTTTTTTGAGATGGAGTCTCACCCTGTCGCCCAGGCTGGAGTGCAGTGGTGCAATCTTGGCTCACTGCAGCTTCTGCCTCCTAGGTTCAAGTGATTCTCCTGCCTCAGTCTCCCAAGTAGCTGGGATTACAGGTGCATACCACCATGCCTGGCTAATTTTTTGTATCTTTAGTAGAGATGGGGTTTCACCATGTTGGCCAGGCTGATCTCGAACTCCTGACCTCATGGTCCACCCGTCTCGGCCTCCCAAAGTGCTGGGATTATAGGCGTGAGCCATCAAACCTGGCCAAATTTTGTATTTTTAGTAGAGATAGGGTTTCGCCATGTTGGCCAGACTGGTCTTGAACTCCTGACCTTGGGTGATCCGCCCTCTTAGGTCTCTCAAAGTGCTGGGATTATAACTGTGAGCCACCTTACCTGGCCCATGTCACTGATTTGTGTTGGTTTTAAATTCAGTTTCTTGGCCAGGCTTGGTGGCTCATTCCTGTAATCCTAGCACTTTGGGAGGCTGAGGCAGGAGGATCACTTGAGCCCAGGAGTTTGAGACCAGCCTGGGTAACATAGTTAGACCCTTTCTCTTGTAAAAATAAAATAAATTCAGTCCTGTTTCTATAATGTTAGGAAGCATTAATTAAAAGCATTCCATTATTCAGATAGCTAATATGAAGTACTAAGTAATACCCCTCATATTTCTGCTTTTTCAAAAACTTAATCAGAGGTGTTACTCATTAGATACTTGCACACAATCCTCTTATGATCCTCTAAATATTTCCTGTTCCATGGGAATACCACAACCTCATCATAGAATAGCCAGACTATAGTCTGCTAGCTTTATATATAAAAATCAAAGCTTTACTTAAGCACGAAGAGTATTACTCAGTTCACTCTCAGTTAAAAATTATATCTGTCATTGAGTCACTAGATTCAGTATGTTTGTTCTGTTCACTTGGCAATTTATTAGAATGGCTAACTTGGTAACTTAGTAGTTAACTAAGCAAATCAGCTTAGTCTGTTTCCTGTTTGTTTAAAAGGATCTTGCATGCCTTCTCAATTAACTTCTTTGTGCATTTCATGGTTTCCTAAGTGTTCTCAAAAACAAGTTAATGATATACAGTAATGTACATCATTTGAAAAAGCAGTTTCTTTTTCAAAATAAGATGTACATTCCTTCCTTATTCGAGATTGTTACTACCATTTCCCAGTAGGGCAGCCTGTGCTTCCTCTAGTTGCCAGAAGAGGTGTGTACCACCTCCACCCAACTCTGCCTCATGAGAGGGGAGAAGCGCCTGCTACCCCCTGCCAGGCCAGGCTGGCTGGGATGCAGGTGGCAGTGAGTAGGACTGTGTTTCATGCTGAGTAGATTAAGTGCAGAACATACTTTTGACTCCATAAAAGCATTGTCTTTTTTTTGGAAACAATGTAGTGGTCCAATCTTGGCTCATTACAACCTAGCCTCCCAGGCTCAGGTGATGCTCCCACCTCAGCCACCCAAGGAGCTGGGGCCACAGGCAAGAGCCACCATGCCTGGCTAATTTTTGTATTTTTTGTAGAGATGGGGTTTTGCTGTATTGCCCCCAGTCTGGTCTTGAACTCTGGCTCAAGCAGTCTGCCTCCCAAAAGTGCTAGGATTACAGGTGTGAGCCACTTTGCCCAGCCCCCCATAAGAGCATTTTAAGATGTGACAGGGCATCTTATGTGACGGGTTGTGTATTCACAATGTGAGAGTGCAAACTATACATTCTTCATTTCAATACATATTTTTTATGTGAAGTATGCAGTTTATGTCATTTGACACAACCTGGTATTGAGACAAGGATGGCAGTTTGCTTGGGTATTTTTTTTTTTTTTTTTTTGAGATGGAGTCTCACTCTGTCACCCATCCTGGAGTGCAGTGGGGCAAGCTTGGCTCACTGCAACCTCCACCTCCCAGGTTCAAGTGATTCTCCTGCCTTAACCTCCCAAGTAGCTGGGATTCCAGGTGTTTCCTACCATGCCCAGCTAATTTCTGTATTTTTAGTAGAGACAGGGTTTCACCATGTTGGCCAGCCTGGTCTCAAACTTTTGACCTCAAGTGATCTTCCTGCCTTAGCCTCCCAAAGTGCTAGGATTACAAATGTGAGACACCGCTCCTGGCCTAAGGATGGCAGTTTGTCTGTCCTGCTAAGATGATTATTGTGTTGCTCTTGACTGATTGGTTGTTGTGGGAAATTAGAGATTTTGTAGCCATAAACTTTGTGTCTGTGGTTTTTCTTTTCTGTTTGGTTGATGTGTTTTTGTAGACTTTTTACTACTTGCACAACAGTTCTAAACAGACTAATTCATTGCTTTAATCAGGTCACGCCTTCTGCAGTCAGCCCTTCTACATGCTTCTGTTTGTCCCTAAGAATGATTTCCTGTTCCTGGGTGGGGTGACCTTGGGCTTCCACTGGGTGAGGTCAGACAAGAGGGTGAGAGTAGGCACCAGGGTGGCCTTTGGCATGACAACCTCTGCTCTCCCTGCAGACCGTTCCCCAGCCCACCCGACCCCACTCAGCCGCTCAGCCTCCCTCAGTTACCCAGACCGCACGGACATCTCGACTGCATCAACCTTGGCAGGCAGCAGCAACCAGTTTGGCAGCGCTCTCCTGGGACAGTACATCTCCGACTTCAGCGTCCGGGCACTCGTGGACCTGCAGTACATCAAGGTGATTGCCCTATGGCCCTGTCTGGGCAGTGCCATCTTCTGCTCAAAAATCAGCTACTTCTTTCATCCACCAACCCAGTATGGTGGGCCCAGGCTGGAGTGCAGTGGTATCTTTTTCTTCCGGAGACAGGGTCTTGTTCTGTCGCCCAGGCTGGAGTGCAGTGGTGTGATCAGAGCCCACTGTAGCCCTGAACTCTTGGGCTCAAGCAATCCTCCCACCACAGTCTCCTGAGTAGCTGGGACTAAAGGTGTGCATGTGGTTTCATTGCTGTTTTTTTTTTTTTTTTAAGACAAAGTCTCTCTCTTGTTCCCCAGGCTGGAGTGCAAGGCATGATCTCGGCTCAGCAACCTCCACCTCCCAGGTTCAAGCAATTCTCCTGCCTTAGCCTCCTGAGTAGCTGGGATTACAGGCACGTGCCACCACGCCTGGCTAATTTTCTTTGTATTTTTAGTAGAGATGGGGTTTCACTATGTTGGCCAGGATGGTCTTGAACTCCTGACCTTAGGTAATCCTATCCTCCTGTCTCAGCCTCCCAAAGCTGGGATTACAGGTGTGAGCTACCATGCTCGGGTAGAGCTTTTGTTTTTTTTTTTTTCTTCTAGAGATAGGATCTCACTGTGTTGCCTGAGCTGGCTTGAAACTCCTAGGCTCAAGCGATCTGCCCATCTCAGCCTCCCAAAGTGCTAGGATTACAGGTGTGAGCCGCTGCGCACAGCCCTGAGATGCTTTTTCCTCGTTTGTACATCTTGTTCTTTGTAAGGGCTTCCAGAGACCCTGACTGGCTATGTCCTCTCTCGACTCACAGCCTCAATCCTTGCCTTATATCCCTAGGCCTGGAGATAGGGTCTGCCTCCCTGCCCCCTCTGCATGAACTCATCCCTTCCTCCCGCAGATCACTCGGCAGCAGTACCAGAACGGGCTGCTGGCCTCTCGCATGGAAAACAGCCCTCAGTTTCCCATAGACGGGTGCACCGCCCATATGGAGAACTTGGTGGAGAAGTCTGAGCTGCCTGTGGTGGACGAGACCACAACCCTTCTCAATGAGCGTAACTCCTTGCTGCACAAAGCATCCCATGAGAGTGCCATCTGACAGGAGGGCCCGGGGCCCCCTGCCCACCCTGCGGGGGCCTCCCCAGTGGGCCCACATGAAAAGAGGGAACCTATTAGTCCAGAAAGGATTCGGATAGATAGCCTGTCTGACTGAGAATCCAGATGGCCCCCAGCCTGTAGGGGATCTGGCCTCTGCCAGGGACCTCTGAATAGCTCTGAGGTAGCACTATCCAGCCCTGGATTGGTGGGGCAGTCAGCCAGCTACCATGAGCAAAGGCTGTTTTTTACTGAGAGAATTTCTAAACTAGGCTCATCGCTCTTCTTTTTAAATATCATTTTGGGAAGGGAAGACAGGGTTAAGGAACTTTATTTTTTTTTTTTTAATTTTTTTTCCAAAAAACGATAAAAGAGGAAGGGTTTCTTGCCCCAGGAAGCAATGGCCATAATCTGCTCCCAGCCATAACCTTCCAGTTTATGTCCCTAATCCAGGGAGCTCTCCCTTCTGCTGCCACCTCCTCCTCCTCCTCCTCCTCCAGAGGTGGTATCCCAGCACCTGCCAGAGGAGGCTCGTCTCTTGGGAGGAAGACAGCTCTTCATAGGAAGCAAAGAACCAAATAGTGGGGAGATCAGCTACCTGGGCACCTGTGCTGTAGCTCATCTGATGATTCTGAGGCCAAGTGCTCCTGGGTAGCTGTGATCAGGGACACAACCCAAGCTATGGAGAGGAGCACATCTGCTTTCAACCACTGTACCCAGAAAGCTCCTAGAACTCTGCCGACAGCCTCTCCTGCTGAGTCGGGACTCGGCTGAGGACACATCCCCACCCTGCCTCCCATCTGGCCCTTTGGACAACTGCCCCTTTGTGATGGGGCTGGCTCAAGTGTTAGGCAGGGTCTTAGGCCTTTGATTGTTCACCCCTGCTCTACAGGCCCTGACCTCACTTTTACCAAAGTTGCCCCTTGGCGGGAGGGCATCTATGTTGGAGGTGACTTGTCTGGGTTCTTCCCTTTGGTTCTGGGCGGAGCTGTCATCGGCATCTGCGTTGTTAGCAGTCAGTACCACCCTGCCCCATAATGAGTGAGTCAAGGCTCACTTGCTGACTGATGCCTTTTTCCCAGACTCCTCCTTTTGAATCCCCAAGCCCCAGTCCCTCTTGGGGGTGGGGACAAAAGGTCATGTTGGAAGCCACCGAAGCAGGTTCTTTATGCCCTTTCCTCTGTGGCCGGCCAGGCTTACCTGGCCTTATCTATCCACTTATGGAACCTCAGGAGAGGAGGGATCCTCCTGAAGGCATGCACCTGGTAGCCCCGCTTTCTCACATGTGTGATCCTAGCATGAGAGGTCGTCCTGCCCTTGCTGAAGTTAGCAGTACTGTACCAAGGGTTCTGCCCCCATGTGAATTCCTGCCCCGGCACCTCTTCCCTGGGGCTGAATCAGGCGCTACTGCAGACCTCCAGGTTTCCCAGAGGCAGGGAGGCTGTGGGACCAAGGTCCACATCGGCCCTTCCACTGGGTGCAGCAGGAGCTGGGGCCCAAGAGCCAGGCAGGTGAGACTCTGCAGGCCTTCCGCCTGAGTATCATTTATTCACTCCTTTCCTCACCCCAAGTGCCCTGCTCTCCAGGTGCCTAGAGAATCCTAACTCTTAGGACCAGGGATTGTCTTGCACCAAGTATGCCCACCCCTGGCCAGTCTGAGGTCTCCTAGCCATAGAACTGACTCCTGGAAGCCAGGAGAGAAGGTGGTGACACCCATGGGTTCTCAACTGTAAGGAAAAAAGACACCAGACCTTTGTTCCCTACTGGGGAAAAGCCCTTAGTCTTCTACAGGAGCAGCTTGCTCCCAAATCCTTTCGGAAGCCGGCAGAGCTGTATTCCTGACAGCCCTGCCAGGTGGAGCAAAAGACATTGGTGGGGGTATGTGAAGCAAAAGGGGCAGGTGCACACATACCTCCACCTAACTTCTGTGCACATGGTTACCATGAACTGGCTGGTACTCCTCCTCTTCCCTGGCCCACTGATAATCCCTTCTCACAGAGGGTCATCATTATTTCCAAATATTGTTGGTCTGATGACTTCCTCTTCCCAGTGCAATTTTTCACTTTCTATTTCAACCTCTGGTTCCTGGGATGAGCCGTACCCTGGAACTGGCCCATGCGATGTGTCTTCTGTGTAAGGGAGACCTTTGCAAATGCCATCCAAATGGGTAGGCAGGTCACAGCTGCCGTATTTATTTTGCATAAGATTTTAATTTGTATATTTTTGTGATTTATTTTGGCGTTATGAGTTTGACTCTCGGGGAGTTTTGTTGTTATGACTCTTGTGTCTTTTGTCACAAAACAATGATAATATTTGCTAAACGATATATGGAATTTATTTTTGATTGGTAATAAAAAATGAAATATGTATAAGTCCTGGTGAGTCTACAACTTGCCTGTTTGAATTCTGTCAGTATTAAGTATGTTGTCGAGATAAAAGTGGCTGTGGCTGCCTGGCTCTTGTGATGAGGTGAGGGGCGATGAAGGATTGTAAGACCATTCAGCAGTGAAATGCAGTCAGAAATGCAATTTCTAAAATATAGTCAAGGCTGTCGTCACGAGAGTAAGAGGGTCGTGGCTGCTGGCAGACATACAGGACAGATGTGCTCAGCTGCCATAAGCATGAGTCCTGTGAAACAGATCCCATAGGCTTCTTGGCTTGTGAGTACTGGAAGGGCAGTGGACTTCAGCAAATTGCCCCTCCTCCCTACCCACGGGACTGAGAGAAGCTTGAACCAAAAGTCTAAGTATATTGTTTTATAACATGCAGCTGCCTTTTCGTCCACACCTACAGGCTGGTTGTAGTTTCAAAGTTAGAGTGTTCATCCCTGAAGAACCTGACTGAGTTACTCACTACACCCACTCTCAAAGTTGCAGCTCTGCAGGGGACTCTATGGTGCTGTCTAGGTGCTGCAGGCTCACTTGTACAATGGAATGTACTGAGGCCAGGGACTCCAAGCATGCAAAGGTTAATGTAGTAGACAAACTGGGGGCATGCTTGAAAAAAGGGAAGCATCTGGGTAGACAACACAGAAAAGAAGATATTCCAGATAAAAGAGATACACATGCAAACGTGTGTGTGTAGGGCAAGATTTGTGAATTATCTTCATCTGTTCCACATACTTAAACACCTATTGCATTCCAGGTACTATAACCCCTGTGTGAATTTAGTGAAGAACCTCCCTCTGACCCTAAAGGGGACAGTCACAGCTTTTTGACTTGTATCCCCTACCTGGGACACATCCTCTAAGTTTTGATGAGACTCACCCCTTATTTAAGCCTCAGTTCAAATCCCATCTCCTTGAGAAGCCCTCTCTGATTAGCCCATCTCAGTCAGCATCGCCCCAGCATCTGTCTTTTTATCTTGCCTTTTTCCCTCCATAGCACTTACTACCAGGTATTAAAATATAGACGGGTATTTTTTGTTGTCCTTGCACTAGAATCTAGCCCCACAAGGGTAGGGACTTAATTTTATTCCCACTACAGTTCCAACACTAGAACAGTACCTGGTACACTGCAGGGACTCAATGCAGGAAATACTTGTTGAATGAATAAATGAATATGTTACAATAGGTGATGTACCTCGATGACGTGGGGAGAGCACATAGCTCCGTAGTCAAGAGGGTCAAGGAAGATCACTTGGAGGGAGTAGCATATGAGCTAAGGCTTGAGAGATAAGCAGGAATTAGCCAATGGGTTTAAAACTCAAGAATAAATTTTTAGCTCTACCATGGAAATATCTTGATCCGAAAGACCAATAAGGAAAATGGCCCAGGGAGGACCAACAATGGCCTGAAGGTTAAGTGGCTGTGTCTCCACTGTTGCTAACCAGGGGTGGAGTAAACAATGGCACAGCCACAGAAGCTGGCAAAGGACTGTTGAGGCCTCTACTGCAAATGGAAAACCACTCCAGGAGCAGCTCTGCATGTCCCATACTGGGTTTTTTGTCAGTATCTTTTGGTACTGACAATTTAAATGACCACTTACGTTTTCCAAGTTTGAGCCAATTGTTCTTTCACCTGAAGCTTTACTCCCAGAAAGTAAGTTATAGGTTGGTTGTTTTCCAAGGAAGCCTGAGACAAGGAAAAAGTAACATGTCAAAGGTGAGGGCCCTGTCTTTAAATCCATGGGGAGCTGTTCCCGGCTTTCCTTTGGAACTGTTCTTTGGTAGTGAAGGACTTTTCAAGCACAGGACTCATTTCAAGCATGTCATCCATTCTATTTCAATGTCAGCATTTTATCTTGACTTGGAGACAGAAGTGAGAACTAAAGGAGCTGAATCTATTATAACGTTTGCACTTTTTTTTTTTTCTATAAAGGAGGGATGATGATCCAGTGGAAAGGCCCAGTAATGTCTTTATTGCTTCTGCTGTAGGCTTAGTATGTAATCTGCAAAGGTAAGGTAAACTGAAAGGGCACAGAACATCATCTGCACCGAGATGCCATTGGCCTAGTCACAGTTCTGAGTTTACAATGCAGAAGAAACACTATTACCATCTTTTAAAAAGTTTTTTTGCACTGCCTTTTTCCTTTGGTCATTCACCACCAGCTTATTCATTTTTTTTGCATGTGAAACACAACATGTTTTACTAGTGGCCACAATGTGTATACTTTTTTTAAATTGTTATTTTCATGACATAGCAAATTGTTTCTATGGAATCCTTATAAAGGTCATTTAAAATGACATGTGCAGTAAGTCAGTCTTCTTGTGCTAGGAAATTAAAAAATATATATATAGAGAAAAATACAAAAATCACTGAACCTGAACACCTATAGGGAAGTTTTGTTAGCAGTTGGTCTATTTTCTTTCAGTCACACAGAGATCATATCTAACGGGTAAAGAACATTCCATACTGTCAACAGACCATACTGTCTTCTAAAATCGCTTCAGCAGTGAGGATCCTCTCCAATAGATCTTGTTAGTCCTGAGGAATTATTCTCCCAGTGGTGAGTTGTGAGAAGTGGAATCACCAAATGAATTTCTGACAGAACTGACCCCTTCTTGTGTGGCTGGGATGCTGACCTGGGTGTTAGGCCGGTCGCGCCGGAACCCAGCACCCATGCTGAGTCTTTCTGAGCTCCACTCTTCTCCTGTAAGAGATTAATAACTGAGGTAGCTGTCCAGATCCAAGGCGGTAGTGATTTTATGTGTCTGCGTATTTATCACGGAGTTCGCGGCGGGAACGCGGGGACTGTCCCACGTCCCCAGACCTCTAGTAGGGTGCGGCGCGATAAGCATCTTCCATAAACCTTAACCTCCCTGTCGCTCAGTCACTGGTTCTTATTTCAGCCCTCTTAGCCACGTAGGTCGGCGGGTTAAAAACCTTTCTGGTACCTGGAGGCCTTTCCTAAGAAAACGCACATCTCTTGCACATTTAAGTCTCCGTCTGGTCTGCAACTTGAGATGCGTCAGGACCCGAGGTTCATCCGAGCTGCCGCTCCGTTCCCGAGCCGGGGACTTGCCAGAACACTGGCCTCACCTCCCGGCGCGGCGGGCGGCCTCGGGAGACGGCCTCGGGAGGAGTGGGATTCCGGGTGCCCCGCGCAAGCCAAGGACTGCCAGACTCGGGAGGCCCTGCCCACCGCGCTGCGGCCTCCGGGCCACCGCCACCCCGCGCATCGCCAGCTGCGGCAGGACCCAGCGGGGCCCAAAGCCTCACGCCCCCGGACCGCCCCTGGCCGCAGCTTGTTTACTCCCCGACGCAGGCTAGTGCGACCCTGGGGCCCGCCCCAGCCCGCCGCCTATTGGCCGAGGATGCGCGAAGGCAGGCAACGATTGGTCCGGGGAGAAGCGGGGCGAGCGGGGTAGGCTGCGCTAGAGGCCGAGAGGGGGCGGCAGGCGATGGCGGCTGCGGCAGCGGCGGCAGGTCGGTTAGGCTGGTTGTTCGCCGCGCTTTGCCTGGGCAACGCCGCGGGGGAGGCCGCGCCGGGCCCGCGAGTGCTGGGCTTCTGTCTGGAGGAGGACGGAGCGGCGGGCGCGGGGTGGGTACGCGGAGGAGTGGCGCGGGACACGCCGGACGCCACCTTCCTCCTGCGCCTCTTCGGCCCGGGCTTTGCCAACAGCTCCTGGTCCTGGGTGACCCCCAAGGGGGCGGGCTGCCCGGAGGAGGCGGCGGCCCCCGCGGGCGAGTGGCTCGCGCTGCTGCGCCTGCGCCTGCGGGCAGAGGCGGTGCGCCCGCACTCCGCGCTACTGGCGGTGCGCGTGGAGCCGGGCGGCGGGGTGGCTGAGGAAGCGGCGCCGCCCTGGGCTCTGGGCCTGGGGGCGGCCGGGCTGCTGGCGTTGGCGGCGCTGGCGCGGGGCCTGCAGCTGAGCGCGCTGGCGCTGGCGCCGGCCGAGGTGCAGGTGCTGCGCGAGAGCGGCTCGGAGGCAGAGCGTGCGGCGGCGCGGCGCTTGGAGCCCGTGAGGCGCTGGGCTGGCTGCGTCTTGGGCGCGCTGCTGCTGCTGGCCAGCCTGGCGCAGGCGGCGCTGGCGGTGCTGCTGTACCGCGCGGCCGGCCAGCGTGCGGTGCCCGCCGTGCTGGGCAGCGCGGGGCTCGTGTTCCTGGTGGGCGAGGTGGTGCCGGCCGCCGTGAGCGGACGCTGGGCGCTAGCGCTGGCGCCGCGCGCGCTTGGCCTCAGCCGCCTGGCGGTGCTGCTCACCCTTCCCGTGGCGCTGCCCGTTGGGCAGCTGCTAGAGCTGGCGGCGCGGCCCGGGCGGCTGCGGGAGCGGGTGCTGGAGCTGGCGCGCGGCGGAGGCGACCCCTACAGCGATCTCAGCAAGGGAGTGCTGCGCTGCCGGACCGTGGAGGACGTGCTCACACCCCTCGAAGACTGCTTCATGCTGGACGCCAGCACCGTGCTGGATTTCGGCGTCCTGGCCAGCATCATGCAGAGCGGCCACACGCGCATCCCTGTGTACGAGGAGGAGCGCTCCAACATCGTGGACATGCTCTACCTCAAGGACTTGGCCTTCGTGGATCCCGAAGACTGTACACCGCTCAGCACGATAACTCGCTTCTACAACCATCCCCTCCACTTCGTCTTCAACGACACCAAGCTGGACGCTGTCCTGGAGGAGTTCAAGCGAGGTAACGGCCCGGCCTTGGTGCAGGGGACGCTCATGGCAGTGCCCTCTCCTGGAAAAGGGGTGGAGAGTTATGGAAGCCTCCAGGAAAGGGTCCCACCCCCGTGGAGAGCAGTGAGACCTCTAAGGGCCCTTTTCAAGAAGGTATTGGCCTTGGAGCTTGGAATGACCTTTTGAAATATTTAAAGGATATCCATCAGAGAGGGACGGAGTGCTTTAGAAAGTGAACACTTTAACCCCCGCGTCAGGATAGCCCCCCTCCCATTTGGAGGGAGGGGTATGACCGCTTAGTTATAATCAAATTCTTGGATAGAAACTAGAAGAACATAGTCTCCAGGTATCTGAGATGTTGTTATCTGCACACACACAACATCAAATTGACTGAACCTGTGATGTTTCCTCCAGAGCATTCTTAAGGTCCCTGACCTTATTGCAGATAAGGGTCTTTAGGAGCCAATTCCTTATCTGCAGTAAAGCCAGGGAAACTTATACTTTGTTTTCACAAAAAGCAACTCCATGGATGCTGATTTAGTCTCCCTTTCTCCCGGCTTTATCGCCCAGGCTGGAGTGCAGTGGCACGATGTCAGCTCACTGCAACCTCTGCCTCCCAGGTTCAGGCTATTCTCCTGCCTTCCGAGTAGCTGGTACTGCAGGTACCCAGCACCAAGCCAGGCTAATTTTTTTATTTTTAGTAGAGATGAGGTTTCACCATATTGGCCAGGCTAGTCTTGAACTCCTGACCGGGTGATTCACTTTCCTCAGCCTCCCAAAGTGCTGGGATTACAGGCGTGAGCCACCGTACCCGGCCTCTTTTTGCTTTTTAATCTTCTTTTTAATTTTTAAAATTTTGTATAGAGACAGGGTCTCACTCTTTTCCCTGGGCTGGTCTCAAACTCCTGGCCTCAAGTGATCCTCCCACCTTGGCCTCCCAAAGTGTTGGGATTGCAGGCATGAGCCACTGCACCCAGCCTGACCTCTTTTCTAACCCTAAGGTCTCAAGTTCTCCCTTAACTCCACATTTTCGTCCCTCCTTTCACTCTGTTTTATCTGAGCAGTTCAGAGGTTGAAGGTAAAATCTGTACCCTCCAGATGTGAAGGTGTGGTTTCCTCAGCAGTCTGCTCCAGTGTCATCCTTGGGGATACTCATAGACTTTGGGGCTCATAACTTGGCCAGCAGCCATGCTTCTCACACGTGCACTCCTGTAGGGTAAGGATGGGGACACCCCAGAGTGCTGGATGGGTTTGACCCTAAAAGCTGCCTGGTGTGAGGCCAAGAAGTGGCAAAGCCCCCTGGTATTTGTGGCAGGACATCTCTGGCACTCTGTCGAGAGCCCCTGGCCTGTTGGCGCAGGAAGCCAGGCTTTGTGATAATGATTGCTACTCCTGACTGAGCACTGCTGTGTGCCAGGCGCTGGACAACACTCTGTGTATCTTATCCCCCATTCCTTGCAGGAGGCCTGGGTACTAAGTTACTGTTATTTCTGTAGCTCAAGAATGGGTGGGAGGCTTGTGTGGGCAGCTCTAACTATTCTCTTAGACTCTTGGGTACCTCTGTCTGAGTCCCTAGAACTTGGCCATGCCACCCTGCCCTGGGGAGGGAGCCTGGGCTGGGGTCTAGATAGAGCCTAGAGGTGGTAGGTACTCCATCTGGGCCACCGGACCCCCTGAGGCAGGGGTGGTTCTCCTAGTGTGGTGGCCAACAGTGCGACCCTGGAATCAGCGGAGTACGTTCTATCCTGCCCTTGCCTGCTCCCAGGCCCTGGAAGGCTGCTCAACCTCTCGTGGCACAAGGTCCTCTGCTGTTAGTGATAAGAATGGGATAAACGGACCTGCAGAGGGGAGACTTATTAAGCACTTTGGCCAGTGCCTGGCATGCACGTGCTGTGTGCTTGGTGTTAGCAGGCAGTTCTCACTCCAGGCAGGCTCTGCTGGTAGGTGAGCTGTTTGCCAATTCAGGAGCAAGGGGTGAACCTAGAAGTGCAGATTTCCGTTTTTTCCAAGGCAGGTCACCAGATTTCCTTCTTTATGGGGAAAAAGTGGAAGATGGTAGCTGTTCCTTTGGTGTTCTAAGCACATACGTTTCTAAATTCTTTAAGAAAACTCACTCTACTGTCTGTCTTCAACTGGCTGGTGCTTTTAGCAGTTGAGCAGTCACTGGGAGGAGATTTGGGGCAACAGAGATGGAAGGGTTGCCCCTTTCGGACTACAGGGAACTTCCATGGTTGGTCATACGCTCAGGATGAGGTTGGTGAAAGTGGTCTTTCATTTTCCAAACCCTTAGTGTCAGGATCTTCCCTGCCATAGTCTTGCCTTTCAGATGTGATGGATGAGCTTGGCCTAGGGTGGTTGGGGATTCTACCTGGGGAAGAATCAAAAACATTCATGTTGATTGGGAAGGAGCCTAGAGGCAGGATGTCCCCTAGGGGGCTTGTGTGCTGCGTAAGGAACTTGGACTTGATCACCAGGGCTGTGAGCATTAAGCAGCACCATCAGTTATTTTTACAGATCAGTAATGATTGTGGACACCAGCGCAGGGAGACCAGCAGTGTGAGGGATCCAGGTGAGAGGGGAAGATAACCTGAACAAGGTTCACAGCAGGCCTGGAGAGGAGCCCCAGGAGGGCAGCAGAGGTAGAATTGGGAAAATTGGTGTCTGACAGTCGGGCTGTGCAGCAAGGAGGAGCAGCCAAGGATGAGGCCCAGATTTCTGGCTGTGCGGTGACAGTGCCCTTCACCAAGGGCTGGGTGTGGGGAGCAGGTAAACTTGTTTTGGCCATTGAAATTGTGTCTGTGCAATGTCCCAAAAGGCAAACTCCTAGCAGGCCATTGATGTACAAGTGGGAGACAGAATAGGAGTGTCTCTCAAGCCATGAGAGGGAGGCAAAGAGCCTCAGCCTCCCAGGAGCACAGGTGTGTTGGGGGCAAGGGAAGCCCAGGAGAAGTTGACCAGGAGGTGACAAGACCAAGGAAGGAGGAGAGCCAGAGATGCGGAATGTCCTGGAAGCTAAGGAAAGAGACCACTTTCTCAGGGAAGGCAAGTGACAGGAGAGGAGGCCAGCAAACAGGATGCCCTTGACCTTTCCAAGAGCAGATGTGGTGCCCACAGCAAGGGAGCCATTTGGGGAATGAATGAGGTGAGGAAAGGTATGAGAACGAATGTAGACAGCTCTCCACAGAGCGTGGCCGCAGAGAAGCCAGAGAGTAGTGACTGGCAGAGGACGTGGGGCAGGGGAGAGAGGAGGCCTTCTGCTGTTTGAAGATGGGCGGGTTGAGCAGGTTCAGATTGAAATGCAGATTGAAATTTAGCTAGGAAGGAAATTAGAGAGGCCAGGGTCCAGGCTGCTCCTGTTCTGGGCTGGGGGGCCTCTAGACAGGTCACAGGCAGTCTGATGCAGGAGGATTTGGGGATGACCGCCTCTGCTTGAAACAGACTGTTCTGAAAGCTACCTGACAACATGCTGAAAGGATACCCTTGGAAGACAGTGGGGGAGGTTTTTGGAACCTAGAGGTTGAATTAGGAGCACTTTAATCCCCCTTGACTTCCCCACTCCTGTGGTGAGTGAGGGCCATTCGTGGGCAGACTGGCCATGTCTTTCTGATGACATCTGAGAGCTTTTTTCACTGCCTCCCTGGTTCAGTGCAGTCCTTTTGCACATATCTTTATTTTTTCTTGTTAAACTCCTTTTTGTCCTTCCTAACCTTCTTAGGCATTCCTCCGCTTAGGAGCAAAGGGCATATTGCAGTCTTTGTGGCACGTGAGGTTTTAAAAATTGATTCCCTTCCCATCTCTCTGCCAAGTGTGTGAGCCTCTGAATTTCCTGGAGCTGGAGTCCCTGCCATCGTGGCAGCTTTCATTCCAGGTCTTGTTTCTTTTGCCGCTATGCTAGGGAACTTTGTAGTGTGGGGGCGAAGTACCCTCTCCAGCAAGGCTCCCTCAGTCAGTGCCAACTTGAGATGACACGCTGATTATTTTGTTCAGATGTCACCAGGAAAAGCGAGTGCTTTGGAGCAGTAATAAATAATTGGGACAGCTGCTCCTTGACTTACAAACGGGGTTATATCCTGAAAAACTCCATCATAAGTTGAAAATACCTTAAGTTGGGCCGGGCGCAGTGGCTCAAGCCTGTAATCCCAGCACTTTGGGAGGCCGAGGCGGGTGGATCACGAGGTCAAGAGATCAAGACCATCCTGGTCAACATGGTGAAACCCCGTCTCTACTAAAAATACAAAAAATTAGCTGGGCATGGTGGCTACTCAAAATTAGCTGGGCATGGTGGCTACTCAGGAGGCTGAGGCATGAGAATTGCCTGAACCCAGGAGGCGGAGGTTGTGGTGAGCTGAGATCGCACTATTGCACTCCAGCCTGGGTAACAAGAGCGAGACTCCGTCTCAAAATAAGAAAAGAAAATACCTTAAGTCAAAAATGTGTTTGATATATCTAACCCACCAAACAAAATAGCTCAGCCTGGCCCACTTTAAACATGCTCAGAACACTTACTTTAGCCTGCAGTTGGACAAAGTCATCTAACACAAAGCTGTTTTAAAAGTGTTGAATATCTCATGTAATTTATTGCATGCTGTACTAAAAGTGAAAACAGAATGGCTTTATGTGTGTTTGAAGTATGGTTTCTACTGAATGCATATTGCTTTTGAACCATCAAATTTGAAAAATTATAATTTGAACCATTGTTAAGTCAGGGACTTTAATGTACAAAAGAATATTATTACTATATTTTTGAGATGGAGTTTTGCTCTTGTTGCCCAGGCTGGAGTGTAATGGCATGATCTCGGCTTATTGCAACCTCTGCCTCCCAGATTCAAGCCAGTCTCCTGCCTCAGCCTCCTGAGTAGCTGGGATTACAGGCATGCACCACCATACCGGGCTAATTTTTGGATTTTTAGTAGAGATGGGGTTTCGCCATGTTGGTAAGGCTGGTCTCAAACTCCTGACCTCGTGATCCACCTGCCCCGGCCTCCCAAAGTGCTGGGATTACAGATGTAGACACCACGCTTGGCCCAAAAACATTATTATTATTTTTGAGACACAGTCTTGCTCTGTCACTCAGGTTGGAGTGCAGTGACATGATTGTGGCTCACTGTAGCATCTACCTCCTGGGCTCAAGCAATCCTCCCACCACAGGTGAGCATCACCATGCTCAGCTAATTTTTAATTTTATGTAGAGATAGGGGTCTCCCTGTGTTGCCAGGCTGGACTCTTGGCCTCAGGCAATCCTCCCAGCTCAGCCTCTCAAAGAGATGGGATTACAGGTGTGTGCCACCATGCCTGGCCACGCAGTCTCTGCTTTAAAGGAACGGAGCTCTGGTTTCCTGTCTGTCGGGAGCCAGATGATTGCCAGGATGCTGCAAAGAGTCCAACCAGCTCCAACCATGGTGAAGCGTGTTAGCAAACTACTTTTGTCTTTCTCACAGTATTCATTTATTCACCAAGGTGGTTTAGAAAACAGAAGAGAGAAGGTGGAAGAACTTATACTCCAGCCCTTACTAACATTATAGAAATTGGGCATTATGAAAGGGTACTTTGGCATTCAAATAATTAGGGTGCCCTGGAGCCTGCTAACTAAAATTAAACTTCAAGCTTTTCCAGGACTCTCTGCTTGATGTTGGCAAGACACACTGTCACAGCTGCTAGCGGCTCCGTGGAGCTGGCCTGTGGGTGGGCATTGGTGTGAGTGGTTCCGCTCTGTTGGCTCAGCAGATGAGAGGTGAACTTGAGTCCCTCCAGCTGCCCTTGCTCTGTCCCCCTGCTGCCATCTTTGGCTACCATCTAGACCCCTCAGATGTTCTTCTTGGGATTCAGTCACACGACCACTGTTCCTGGGGATCTTCCGGGGCCTGCTTTCTTCTGTTCGTGCTAGAATCAACCCAGTGTGGCAGGCCATGGAGAATCGTGTGCCTGTTCTAGAGAAGTTTGAAAGCAAAGGGGTGAGTCCCTCTCTGTAGGAAACCTCCTAAAGGGCCTGGTTCCTGGGAGAAGGGAGCCAAGATGAGGCCTTTCTGTGCTGAGTTGGCCATTTAGATAGTGTGGGCTTTGGTGCTGGAATCCAAGACACTAACCAAAACCACATGTCATGCTTGGCCTTCCTGGTCTGGCCTAACAGGTTGGTACTCTGGTGGGGCAGCCATGGCCATTGTAGAAATGGCACCCAGCACAAGCACTGAGGGTTAGAAGGTGTCCAGAATTATGGTTCAGTGGGACTGAGTGGAGATCTCCAGGGCCATAGCTTTTCCTCCTGGAAAGTGGGGAGATGACGTGATACGGCAATTTCCAGCTTTTTGTCCAGGGGAACACAAGCATCCTGGAAAATTGTGCTTTATTTAATCAAGCCCACAGAATGTAAAGTATGTTTCACACAACAACACGAACTTGACTTTTTGATTTTCCAAGAGTCCAAGAGTCTTGAAGCAGGTACACCTCACAGGCAGGTCCAGGCCAGTTTCCCCTGTGTTTCTGCTAGTGACAAAGGAGGGAGGGCCTGGTTGAATGAGTTGCTTCCAGCCCTCTGTCCTGGACCTGCGCAGCCCAAGATGGCAGCCCCAGCTGGCAGCCCCCCTCCACCTGGGGCTGTGGTACCTGAAGGTAGAGTCTGAGTTGAGATGTGACACCAGATAGAGAGTACAAAATAAAGACAAATTGTCTGTGACTATTTTTTGTATTGATTACATGTTGAAATGCTATTTTGATTACATTGGGTTACTTACAATATATTATTAAATGTAATTTTATGTGTTTCTTTTGACTTTTTAAATGCAGCTATTCAGATTTTAAATTACATAGGTGGCTTGCATTCTGGTTTTTTCAGACAGGTCTAAAGTAGTATGGATGAAAATCACGTATCTGACACACAGTAAATTCCTGAAGCTTCCTCAGCATTCTCCAACACTCTGAGACTTGGGCTTTTTTCCAAGCTTACATTCCCTCGCTAAGCAAACAAACCAAATAGGAAGCTAACTGAGAAAGACGCATAGGATAGGGTGAAAAATCTCAGCCTGGTGCTTCTCCCTGCACAGCTTGGCTCCTAAGTGGCTTATCTCATCCCCAGGTTGACAGCCCCTAATGAGCAGCTTTTTTTTTTTTTTTAGAGACAGAGTTTCACTCTTTTTGTCCAGGCTGGAGTACAGTGGCACGATCTCAGCTCACTGCAACCTCTGCCTCCTGAGTTCGAACAATTCTCCTGCCTCAGCCTCCTGAGTAGCTGGGATTACAGGCACGCACCACCATGCCCAGCTAATTTTGTGTTTTTAGTAGAGACAAGGTTTCTCCATGTTCATCAGGCTGGTCTCGAGCTCCCAACCTCAGGTGATCCTCCTGCCTCAGCCTCCCAAAGTGCTGGGATTACAGGCATGAGACACCGCGCCTGGCCATGAGTAGCTTTATGAATTAGGAAAACCTCCCAAGGAGAGTCAGGCTGGGTGGCCCCACTCGGCTGCCCTGCGTGGACTGTCTGGGGAGAGCCTGCATTTCCGGAGTCGGTCTCTTCACATGCATCTGCAGGCTGGCTGCTGTGTGAAGCATTTGTGTTCTCAGCTAGATGCATCCTTGTCTGAACCGCATATATGGCATGGAGGACCTGGGGCTGGATCCCACTCTGCCATACTCTGCCTGGGAGGCTTCGTGCAGATGAGCATGAGCCCGATGCTTTAATTTCAGCCTATGTGAAAATAAGGCCAGTCCTCATAAGCATGCTGGGAGTCTTAAGTAAAAACCTAGAAAATGGTCTGTCTCTATTCCCAGCACGTTGTAGGAAAATGAACGTTAGCCGTGTCCTTTTAGTGAGCCTATACCCAGAGACAAAGAAAAATGGGGGAGAACAGCAAGCTGTTCCATGAGTGTCCTCCCCCCACAGGGAAGTCCCACCTGGCCATCGTGCAGAAGGTGAACAACGAGGGTGAGGGCGACCCCTTCTACGAGGTCCTGGGCCTAGTCACCCTGGAGGATGTGATCGAGGAGATCATCAGATCTGAGATCCTGGACGAGTCCGAAGACTACCGTGAGTCCGGACTCCTGGCAGTTCCACCTCTACTGGGCCCTCATGCTTCCCGAGGTGTATGTTGTGTCAGAGGCCAGTGGGCCCCTGTGCTGCTGGAACCCAGCGAGATCCACAGCCAGGCCCCCTTCTCAGCCCTTCATGGGTGCTGGCAGGGAGCCCCCTTGTAGGAGAACACGGAGGTCCTCAAGATGTGCTCATGCCTGCACCTCCACACAAGCATGGTAGCCTGTGCCAGCGGTGGCCTTGCAATCATAGAGCTCGCTTGGGACTCCATTAGCTGCCATCCTGTTTCCTCCATTACTGAGAGGGCCCTGCCCTTCATGGCTCTTCCCAGTCTTCTGTCTCCCTAAGTGCTTTTGTTTTTGCAGGTTCTTTTCTACATTACAGAAATGTCCCCTGAAAGAACCCATTCTTTACCATAAAGAAAGTCTTCTCAAAGCAGCTGATCCCAGGGCCCTTGATTGCATGGTAGAAGTGTCTGCCTGTTAGGCTGGTGGTTGAGGTCTGCAGGGCAGCACAGAGCCTGTGCTTCATGGCTGGGCTGCCTGCCCCACACGCTTTCAAAAGTATCGCTTTACTCATGCATCAGTTTTCAATCACAACATCTTTAGTCTTGTTCATGAGACTACCATAGGCATGGGGTCTCCAGGTTAATTGCAGCCCTTGTGTACTGGTAATCCTTGAATACACACTTTTAGTGAGAAGTAGCGCTCAGTGGCCAAGGACACCTGTTTATTTATTTATTTATTTATTTCTTGAGACGGTCTTGCCCTGTCACGCAGGCTGGAGTGCAGTGGCGCAGTCATGGCTCACTGCAGCCTCAACTTCCCAGGCTCAAGGGATCCTCCCACCTTAGCCTCCAGAGTAGCTGGGAATACAGGCGCATGCCGCCACACCTGGCTAATTATTTTATTTTTTGTAAAGATGGTTTCTCTATGTTACCCAGGCTGATCCTGAACTTCTGGCCTTAAGTGACCCTCCCACCTCAGCCTCCTAAAGTGCTGGGATTACAGGTGTGAACCACTACATTTGGCCTAAATTTAAAAAAATTTTGGTCCACATCCAGTGACCTATCGGGGAGTCCTGTTATTTTATAAAAGCTGCTCTGTTACATCAGCATTCTCTTCAGCCAGCTCCAAGGCAAGGAGCCGTCCATGTGGTTGGGGTGGCAGCAGGCCCCATGGAGGGAATGGTGCTGAGGACATGTCCCTGCTGGCCTCAGGAGGAAGAAGAGGACGACACCACTCCTTGGTGTGGTCGTGATTGACAGGTGGCTGATGCCTGAGTGTGCCCTCTTTTTCCACCTTAGGAGACACCGTGGTAAGGAGGAAGCCTGCTTCTCTGATGGCCCCTCTCAAGCGGAAGGAGGAGTTCTCCTTGTTCAAGGTGTCTGATGATGAATATAAAGTAAAAATCTCACCTCAGCTGCTCTTGGCCACCCAGCGCTTCCTGTCCCGAGGTGAGGCGGGATGGTGGTCCATGCCCCCTGCTCTCCTCACTGTCCTATGGGTCAGGAGGCTGCTCGGGGCCGACACTAACTCTACTCCCCATTCCTCGAAAGCAGGCACATCTTGAGGACCTCCGTGTTCTCTGCAGCCATGCCAGCATCTTGAGTCTTGGGAGAGGCAGCTCCTCTCTGCCAGACCGCCAAGAACAGGGCCAGGGCAGTGCCACACCTGGTGTGCCACGGCCAGGCGGCCTCAGCTCTCAGCTGGGTGGATGTGGGGTGCCCTGTGCAGTGTTTTTTTTGTTTTTTTTTTTTTTAAAGACAGGTTCTTGCTTTGTCACCCAAGCTAGAGTGCAGTGGTGTAATCCGGTTCACTGCAACCTCCACCTTCCAAGTTCAAGTGATTGTCCTGCCCCAGCCTCCCAAGTAGCTGGGAATACAGGCGTGCATCACCACGCCTGGCTAATTTTTGTATTTTTACTAGAGATGGGGTTTCGTCATGTTGGCCAGGCTGGTCTTGAACTCCTGACTCCAGGTGATCTGCCTGCCTTGGCCTCCCAAAGCGCTGGGATAACAGACATGAGCCACCATGCCCAGCCCCTGTCTAGTTCTCTTGTGTTGAGATTGGGGGTGGGGGACAGCTGCTCATGGGCTATCCAGGAGAGCCCCGGTGGGCACAGTAACTTGAAATTGCCTAAAGTGTTGGGTGTGGTTCCATGGGCCACTAGGCACTGGTGGACACCATCCCTTTTTTCCACCACGGGCAGAAGTGGATGTATTCAGCCCACTGCGCATCTCTGAGAAGGTCTTGCTGCACCTGCTGAAGCATCCCAGCGTCAACCAGGAAGTGAGGTTTGACGACAGCAACCGCTTGGCCACACACCACTACCTGTACCAGCGTAGCCAACCGGTGGATTACTTCATTCTTATCCTACAGGTAGCTGTGGGTACCAGGCCTGGAGCCTCCTGCTTCCTCAGGCCAGGGAAATGTCTGGGAGAAGAGGGTAGTAGGGGCATGAAGGTACCTCCCTACCCCGAAACAGTTGAGTTTGTGGGTTTCTCTCTGCGCTGTCTTCTGATGGGAAGGGCCATCTGGCCACATCTGTTTCTCTCCCTGCTGTTTTCTCCCAGGGCAGGGTTGAAGTGGAGATCGGGAAAGAGGGCCTGAAGTTTGAGAATGGGGCCTTCACGTACTATGGAGTGTCGGCCCTGACCGTGCCATCCTCGGGTAAGCCTCGGCCCCTGCTGGCGCAGAGGGCTAGGATCGAGGCTGCGGAGTCTGTCCCTGCTTGTTGTCACTTCGGCTCTCAATGCCCCTCCTCGCCTCCCCTTCCACCTGAGCCCACCACCCCATAAGGTGGGCTTCCGGGAGGGAGGGCAGCATTCTTCATCACTCGTCTTTGTGGCTCACTCCACCCCTGCGAAACCTCTCCCAGCTGTGTTCATCATCCTCTCTCGGCTTCCTAACACATTGCCTCTCCAGGGTGATTGGTGGGGTTGGTCTTCAAAACTGTGCAGTTGTTCCCCCCCAGGGGAGGGGGCTCCCAGCTGCCAGCACTGGCTTCTGCCATCACTGATTGTTCCTTTGATAGTTCACCAGTCCCCGGTGTCCTCGCTCCAGCCCATCCGCCATGACCTGCAGCCTGAGCCAGACGGCATGCGTTCATCTACATATTGTCCCGACTACACCGTCAGGGCGCTCTCTGACCTGCAGCTCATCAAGGTGACTGCCTGGGCTGCTCATGGGTGCTGACTTTAGCTGACTTTGTGTCACTGGGGGCTACCAGCTTGTCTGAGACTGCCCAGAGCAAGGTCCTGTGCTCATCCTGAGGGACACAGACCTTTGCACCCAGTTTCCATGCAAGGTCTTAAAAACACTTGACTCAGTTGCTCTTCTCCCCTTAACTAGCTTAAAGTTGTTCCTCTGTCCTCTTCTGGCATGGTGTGGACTCTCCTGTCTACCTTCTGTGTCTCACTTCACCAGTTGGGTCTGCTAGTAATATTTTCATCCTCTAGGTTACGCGGCTGCAGTACCTCAATGCACTCCTGGCTACCCGAGCCCAGAACCTGCCACAATCCCCCGAGAACACTGACCTGCAGGTCATCCCAGGCAGCCAGACCAGGCTCCTCGGTGAGAAGACAGCCATAGCGGCAGGTGAGTGCTGAGTGGTATGCCGTGCACTGTGTCTAGACCCAGGGGTTGTGAACTTGCACACACAGACTTGCACTCTCACCGTCCCACCCTGCCCTCCATCTTTTTTCCCATCCTTTTCCCTTCTTGTTTTTTTTTAGATGGAGTCTTGCTCTGTTACCCAGGCTGGAGTGCACTGGTGTGATCTTGGCTCACTGCGATCTCTGCCTCCTTTGTTTAAGCATTTCTCCTGTCTCAGCCTCTTGAAGTAGCTAGGATTACAGGCACCTGCCACCATACCCAACTATTATTTTTTTGAGACGGAGTCACGCTAATTTTTTTGTATTTTTAGTAGAGATGACATTTCTCTGTGTTGGCCAGGGCTGGCCTCAAACTCCAGACCTCAGGTGATCTGCCTGCCTCGGCCTCCCGAAATGCTGGGATTCCAGGCGTGAGCCACTGTACCTGGCCCCCTTCTTGCTATTTTTTTTTTTAATTCTTCATTACTCAATTTGAACTTCTTGCTGTATTTAACAGCTTGGATGACACCAAGCTATAAACTAACTGGTGTTCAGACTATAGTAAGTCAGTATTTTCTCTCAAGGTCCTCTTAGAATGGATTGACTTAACCAGAGAATTGCTGGGAAGTGGGAGTAAGTTTCAGTTCAGACGCTTTTGGCCATTTAAGTTTAGGTCACTTGGTAAGTGAAGATTGGAGTCAGCAGTGGGCCTAGCTCTGAGGGTGGGTGGCTGGTGGACATCATCCTAGACATTAGAAGGGCATTTGTGAGGAGTTTGGTCAGTTTATGCTGATGTTTAAATAAACAAGACCCATCCGGGGCTTCACTGTGAGCGGGAAGATTGTATTGGAAGAAATTTTGCAGATGGAACTAGAGGTGGTGGGATATCAAACCCCATACCCCTCAGTGCCAGGAGGGAGGTGAAAAGAGTCTCAAGTGTACACGGCTGTGAGTAGGAGTGGTGAAGGGTCAGGCTTTCTTGTTCTTGTTTTTCAAGAAGATACTTTTATTCTGACTGAGTTTCTAAGGTTGGGGTTAGAGATATGCCTGAACTTGGGATTCCTGGAGGAGCCGGTGGGGCTTCTGGAGAGGCTGTGGAGGGAGCTGCAGGCTTGCTTCCTCGCACCCCCACCTGCCCCACCATGAGGAAGACAAGCCCTTATCTGCCACGCACTGCACTAGGAACTTCCATGTCTAACTCCGCTAACCCCTCTGTGGCTGGAGGGGTGCTAGCTGTTCTGCCTGTTGTACAGGGCAGGATTGAGAGCCCGAGAGAAGTCCCTGGCACTCTGATCTGCTTCCTGGAGGCCTCCCACAGAGCAGCTCTGGCTGCTCAGACCCATACTTGAGAGCACAAACATGTTTTTCTGATAGAAAGTTCTTTCTGAATTGTGAGGTGATGTGCAGGTGCAAGGGACAGAAACTCCATTCTGGGCCATGTGGATGCCTCAGCCCCTGTGGCTCCAGATCTGGGTGTTGGCAAAATGGCAACAGGAGAGGTCGTGGTGCTTAAGTCCTGGATCTGGGGATGGGTTGCATCTCTTTCTAAAGAGATCTCTCTAAGGATGGGTGCTGCACTTTTTTTAAGAGATAAGGTCTTGTCATGTTGCCCAGGCTGGCCTCATAATCTGGGCTCAAGCGATCCTCCTGCCTCAGCCTCCAAAGTAGCTGGACGACCAGCTAGTGCTGCATTTTTTAGGGTTCTTGATGCTTCTGTGCTTACCCACTGTGATGGTTTCTTATTTTATGGGGTGCCTCTTATATAGAAGTTCCCACTGTCACATTAGACTGGGGTCTCAGAGGCCAAGATGTTGTGTTTTTTAAATTGTGAGCCTTTGGTTTTCCTTCATGTGAGCCTTTTCTGGCTCCAACTGCTACCCAGACAGCACATGTTATATTAAAGATACAGACCTAATCCCAGAATAATGCTTTTCTTTTTTTTTTGAGACAGAGTTTCACTCTTGTTACCCAGGCTGGAGTGCAATGGTGTGATCTCGGCTCACCGCAACCTTTACCTCCTGGGTTCAAGCAATTCTCCTGCCTCAGCCTCCCGAGTAGCTGGGACTACAGGCACACGCCACCATGCCCAGCTAATTTTTGTATATTTAGTAGAGATGGGGTTTCACTTTGTTGACTAGGATGGTCTCAATCTCTTGACCTCGTGATCCACCCCCTCAGTCTCCCAAAGTGCTGGGATTATAGGCGTGAGCCACCGCGCCCAGCCCGCTTTTCTTTTTAATTTCTTTTTTTTTCCTTTTTTTTATTTCCCACCTGCAACTGTCTTGATCGAGTTACAAGAATGATGCTTTTCTCATCATTTTCATCCTATACCCAGAGATTTAAAAAAAATTTTCACTGGGCTGTCCTGTAAGAATAGTTTATAGTGGCTTTGTGGGTCATTTCCTTGTTGTAATGGATTATCCATTATTCTCTAGACATAATGTTGGTTATTTTCACCTAAGCGAGGCTGGCCTGCTCTCTTTCTGTTTCTTGCCTGAACTCTGGGGTTGTCCTGCATTTTGTCCTGTGAGCTTGGCATTTCACTGTCCAGAGGAGCATGGCGTGGCTGCACACCCGTAAGTTTCAGTGGGGCACTGCTTAAGTCGGGCAGATGAGAACCAGTTTCTGGAAACCTTGGTACTAGACTCCCACCAGGGAAGTGCCTTTCTTGAGACTTGGAAGCACAGTAATTTTAAATTTCCTACAGCGGGGGTTGGCAAATGGTGATACCAGGGCCACGTCTGGCTAGCAGCCTGTTTTTGAGAAAGAAGTTTAATGGGAACCCATACATCTGTTTGTGGATTGCTACAGCTGCCTTTGAGTTACAACAGTGGAACTGAGTAGTTGTGACAGAGACCGTATGACCTACAAAAACTAAAAATATTGGCCCTTTGCAGAAAAAGTTGTCTGACCCCTGGCTTACCATTTCAAATCCTGGGCAAGTCCTCTATGTCAGTTCTTCATGGAACTGTATGCTGAGGGAAAGGGGGTCCCCACACTGTGCAGCCCTCCATGTTGTCTTCCTGGCTTCCCCTACTGTCCTGCAAGCTGTGGGGCTGTGCAGCCCCAGTGCCGTGGTTCCCCCTAGGCTCCTCCTACCCGTGGCGCTGGGCCTCTCCGTGGTGCTGCCTGGAGCCAAGAGGCACAACCATTTCTGCTCAATAGCTTCTCTTTCTCTCTCTGCTCTCTTTAGCCTTCCCAGTAGACCTTTCCCTCTTTGGCACAGTTGGAAACTGCAGTTGATAAATGACTGTGGACTAGTGCGCATTTTTTGTTTTCAGAGCACACCCAAGGTAAATATCTTCCCTCTCCCTGCCCCTTCACTTTCCTTTCCTGGCCCTTCACCTGTGGGAGGAGCAGATCCCACGGCTCTCTAGGCTGGGGAGCATTTCTCTCCGGGGGTACGGGGTGGGCACTCCCTTCCATCCTTCTGGAAGACAGGAGGGGTCATGAGATACCTCCACTATGGGAGATGGTGCTTCCTTCTAGCACGGGATGCTGTATCATCCCGTGCAGGGGGCTCTTGTTCAGCATAATGGCCTGGGCCCCCTGGGGCCAGAAATCCACAGCCTCAGCTTTCCTCTCCCAGGGAAGTCATCTGTCCTCAGTAGCTTCCTCTTGTGAGGCGAGTTTGGCTGACCATCTGCTAACCAACCACTGCTGGCTCCGCTCTGATACCTCCTAAGGCATCCCGAGGCCCTTGTTTCACCTGCCCCTTCCTGTCCCACAGAGGATTTGGCACTTAGTTTTAATGGGACCTTTACCAGCTTTGATGCTAATTCTCCTTCTCTTGTCTCCTCTAGGGTCCAGCCACAGCAGGCCTGGCATCCCGGTGGAAGGCAGCCCTGGGCGGAACCCAGGTGTTTAACTGCTTGCTAGGCAGCCCCAGATCTGGGGAACAGACGAGCACATGGGGAGCTGGAGTGAGCCAAGCAGAAGCTTCATGCCTGCCTGCCCCCATCCCCTCCAGGCCACGTTTTAGATGGCCCTTGTAGATGTGGGTCCTGGACGTCCTCAGAACTTGACATCAATGCCTGGATCCTTCAGCCGGCCCTGCCCTCCTTTAGAAGATGGGGGTCACCAGGGCACAGCTTTCCAGCCCTGCATCAGGAAGGAACGAAGGGAGCACCATCTGTTGTCCCCAGGGCCCTGGCTTCCCCGTCTCCCCAGAGGCTGGGACAGTGCAGCATATTCAGACCTCTTTGGGCCAAGCCACCTTGTGAGTGCAGTTACTGCCTTATGTGGCCAAGACCTGTACTCGCTTTGCTTTTAATTTGCCAGCCTACCACTGCTGCCAGCACTTTTTGAGCAAACCGAGAGCACCCATTTGGTGTTGGGGGTTCAAAACCATGACCTTGTCCATGGTGTCCTTTCCAGCTTCCCTGATGGTGCCACATTTCAGAGCATGCGCACCAGCCTTTCCCATGTGCCAAACCAGAAGCTCTGCTACCTGTAGTCTGTCCCTGTAGCCCTTCTCCCTCCCTGGAGGCTGCTCTTCTGACCCTGAGAGCTGGCCTAGTGGTGCCAAGGTTCCCTTTCTGCTTCTCTGCCCGCCTGCTGAGTTGCCACTCACAGCATTGTCAGTTCCTGTGTTCTGAGAAGAGGTCACGCCTGGAAGGAAGGGATCATCATGCTGCATTGAATCCTCCCCCACTGTGTGGCCTCGGGGAGAGTGGCCGCCTGTTGCACCTACTGCACGCCTCCCCACAGCCTCCCTGCAGGTGCTGTATGGCTGTGATGTGCAGAGAGCATCGAGGGAGGGTTTATGAACCAGGTAGATCCTCATGACCTTTCTTTAAAAAAAAAAAAATCAGTTTTTGTTATATCTCTAGAACATTCCGAGTCTTTTCCTTTTTTTCTGTTCCTGGCTGTGGGGTTTTAGAGAAGTGGGAATAGGAAGGCATTTGTCTTTTTTTTCTAATTTACTATATTTTTTTCCATAGTTCTTGAGCTGTGTGGAAACCGGGGCATTACAAGGACATAGGATCATAGATTGGGGGTAGGGAGGGAGAAGGATTTGTGGAACCTTTCTCAAAGGAATTTGGACCCTTACAAATGGGACTGAAGGCCAAAAGAACAGGGGTATGCTTGCTTAGAAATTGTCCTCAAGGAATCAACTCTTAACAGCAAGCCCAGGTGGGAAACAGATGCTTTAAAGTCCTCTCCAGAACAGTGGGTTTGTTGTTGTTGTTGTTTGAGATGGAGTCTCACTGTGTCGCGCAGGCTGGAGTGCAGTGATGTGATCTCAGCTCACTGCAACCTCCACCTCCCAGGTTCAAGCGGTTCTCTTGCCTCAGCCCCTGATCACTAGCTGGGATTACAGGCACCTGTGCCATGGCGCCTGGCTAATTTTTGTATTTTTAGTAGAGATGGGGTTTCACCATGTTGGCCAGGCTGGTCTTGAATTCCTTACTTCAGGTGATGCACCCGCTTTGGCCTCCCAAAGTGCTGGGATTGCGGGCATGAGCTAAGAACAGTGGTTCTTAACCTTGGCTGCAAATCAGAATCACCTGGCAAATTAAAAATACGTGGACCTGCCACCAGGGCTTGTGATTTAATCAATCTGGGCATCAGCATTTTTAGTTGTTTTTTTTTTTTTATGTAGAGACAGATTTCATCATGTTGACCAGGCTAGTCTTGAACTCCTGACCTCAGGTGATCCACCTGCCTTGGCCTCCCAAAGTGCTAGGATTACAAGCGTGAGCCACTGTGCCCAGCCTTTTTTTTCCCTTTTTTTAAAGACAAGATCTCACTCTGTTGTTGCCCAGACTGAGTGCAGTGGTGTGATCACGGCTTGCTGCAGCCTCCACCTCTCTGGTTCAGGCCATCCTGTCACCTCAACCTCCTGAATAGCTGGGACTATGGGTATGTACCACCACACCCAGCCAATTCTTTTAATTTTTTGTAGAGATTGGGTCTCATTATGTTGCCTGGGCTAGTCTCAAATCCTGCGCTCAAGTGATCCTCCCATAGTGTTGAGATTATAGGCGCGAGTCACCATGCCTGGCCTTGAGATATTTTTAGATTCACAGAAAAGTTGCATAGACCTTTCACCCAGCTTCCCCTAATGTTAACATCTTACATATAACCTTGGTACATTTATCAAAACTAAAAAAATTAACATTGGTGCAATTATACTATTAAAATAGTACAGAGTTTATTTGGATTTTACCAGTTTTCCCAATAATGTCCTTTTTCTGCTGCAGCAGCCCATCCAGGACGCCATGCTCACTTAAAGCTATTGCTTTCTTTTTTTTCTAACTTAATATTTTGAAATAATTTCAGATTATCGGAAGTTGTAAAGATAATGGTCCCACACACCCTTCCTCCAGTTTCCCTCCATGGTTACATCTTACATGATTGTAATGCAGTATTCCAACCAAGACTTTGACTGGTGCAGTGTGGGTGGACAGTCCAAATCATTTGTCACATGTACATTTGTGTAACTACCACTGCAATCAAGATAAAGAAGTGCCATCCCCGCAAGGATCTCCCTCCCCACCCTCCCTAACCCCTGGCAAACACCATCCTTCATCTCTTACTTTGTCATTTCAAGAATGTTGCATAAATGGAAGCATAGTGTGTAAGCATTCGGGATGGTCTTTTTTCACTCTGTAATTCTCGGGAGACCACCCAGGGGTTGCATGTGTCAATGGTGTGTTCCTTTTTATTGCTGAGTGGTATTCTGTGGTGTATGCACTGGCCCCCTGAAGGACACCTGGGATGTTTCCAATTTTGGGCTATTCCAAATAAAGCTGCTACAAATATTCATGTATAGGTTTCTGTGTAAAGATTAGTTTTCTTGGGGATAAATTCCAGGTCATATGGTGGTTGCATGTTTTCTTTTTTAAACAAACTGTCAAACTCTTAGGTCCTCACCAGCAACCTAGGATGATCATTTCCCCAAATCCTCTGCAGCACTTAGTGGTGATGTGTTTTTACTTAAGCCTTTCTGACAGATGCGTCATGATGCCTCACGGTGGTTTGTCATTTGTTTTTCCCAGTGATGGACACCTCCTGTGTTTCATTACAGAGGAATATCCCTGTCTTTCACCCATTTTCTGATTGGATTGTTTTTTTCTGTTGAGTTTTGAGAGTTATTGATACTCCTTTATGAGATTTTTGGTTTGCATTGTTCTGTAGCTTATCTTTTCCCCCCATCCCCCTTTTTTTTTCTGAGACAGTCTTTGTCACGCAGGTGGAGTGCAGTGGCACAGTCTTGGGTCACTGCATACTTGACTCCTGGATTCAAGCAATTCTCCTGCTTCAGCTTCCCAAGTAGATGGGATTATCACCACGCCCAGCTAATTTTTTGTAGAGATGGAGTTTTACTATGTTGCCCACAGCCAGTCTTGAACTCCTGAGCTCAAGTCATCTGCCCATTTCAGCCTCCGAAAGTACTACAATTAAGGGTATGAGCCACCTCACCTAGCCGTCTTCACCCTCTTAACAGGGTTTTATACAGAGCAAAAGTTTTAGGTTTTGAAAAAGTCTCCCTTACTGATTTTTCATTTATGGACTGTTGCTTTTAGTGTCACATATAAGAACTCTACCTAGTCTTAGATCCCAGAGGTGGTCTGTTTTTTCCTAAAAGTTTTACAGTTTTACATTTAAGTATGTGTGACCCATGTTGAGTTAATTTTTGTATAATGTGTAAGACTTAGGCCAAAGTTCTTTTTTTAGCCTGTAGATGTCTAGCTGCTCCAGCACTGTTTGTTGAAAGGTTGTCCTTCCTCCATTGAATTACTTTTGCACCTTAAAGTCAGCTGGGTATATTTCTGTGGTCCTGTTCCCAATCGTGTTCTCCGCCCTGTTGATCTGTACATCTGTCCCTCTGCCAGCATTGCACTCTTGGTTCGCATAGCTATATAGTAGGTCTCGAAATCAGACTGATTATTCTTTCTCTAAATATTTTCGCTATCAGTTTTTATATGAATTTTAGAATAACCTTGTTACATCCACAAAACATCATCTAGGATTTTGATAGGAACTGCATTCAACCTGTATGTTAATTTGACGAGAACTGATACCTTTATTGTGTCTAACAATCCAGGAACATGGTATGTTTATTTAAATCTTAGATTTCATCAGGTTTTGTAATTTTCACCATACAGAGTCATTGCTTGTTTTGTTAGATTTAAACCTAAGTATTTCATTTTTTAAGCAGTTGTAAATAGTACATATTTTTAACTTTTGTGTCTATATGTTCATTTCCAGGAGGTAGAAACAGGTTTTGTGTGTTTATCTTGTACCTGAGATTTTGCTGCACTCCAGAGGTGTCTGCTTTCTATAGAATCCTAGAGTTTCCCATATAGACAAGTGTGGCCTCTGCATGAGAATACCTGGGCCCTCCCCTCAGGGCTTCCGACTTCAGGTCTGGACAGCAGGACTTTTTAAACCTTCCTGGTGATTCTGATAAGCAGCTGAAGTGGAGAACCACTGTGCTTTGACCTTGTCGTCAGTGAGCTGAGCTGCCTTAAGCACAAGACCCTGGTGCTGGGACCCTGTGTCCTGCCCACTCTGTGCTCACCCTATCTTGCTGTCGGCCAGCATGGCAAGCAGGCCTGGGCCTTACCAGAAGGTCCCTGGTGACCAAAGTATGGGCTCCCCCGAGTCCAGGAAAGACAGTTAGGCTGTAATGGATATCCAGTTTTAATGAACAGAAGATACTGATCAGTATAAAAAGGTGTGTTTGTCACTGAAGTGTCCTCATTTTCTAGATGAGGAGTTGTCTTCTTCATGATCTTAAATGCCTGCTTCGCCACGGCACCAACGTCTGGGTGCACGCTGGCTTTGTCGCCACAGGGCAGGAGCTGCCCGTGGAAAGGTGTGTGCCCCTAGTGTGGAGCACTGGTCACATAGTAACAGCCTTGTTCTGGGCCTGAGAAGGCCACCAAATGTAGACTAAAAAGAACCACGGCCAAATGCCTATCAACCTGATCATATCTAATGTAACTCATGACCCATGTGAGGGAGGCTGAGCCTGCAGCTTTCAGCCCTTCCCTCAGCCTGTGGTTCTCAGATGAGGGCAGAGCTCGTTAAGATTCACTTTCTGGCATTTAGGGATCCAGCCCTGCCAGCAGTACAGGTCTACACCAGTGAAACTTGAAACGTACAGCCAGTGTCAGAGGAAGAAGTCTAGGGAGCTTGGGTCCTTAGACCACCAGGGAGCAAGGAAGGGATGGGGAGGGGGGCCCTCGCCTTCCTCTGCTTCCCTGTGAGCTGGGTTTGGAGCCCCTCAGTGTCCTGGCCTCTGAGGTGGGGTCAAGCAGGGTGGGTGCAGCTGCAGAGTTCCAGGCCAAGAGCTCCAGCTCTGGTACTAGGGACATAAGGGAGCATAAGAGCCTCAGGCAAACTAGGGTTACGGGCCACCGCCCCAAGAGTTGAGTGGGCCACAAGCAATCCCCAGTGCCCAGGCACTTCCCCCATGAGAGCTACCAGCAGGCGACAGTGTGCCAGGCCAGCCTGAATGGGGCCAGTGCACAGTGGGTGCAAGGCATCTCTCAAACACACACCAGCTCATTAGTCTTAGGGCTTCTGAGGCAACCTGGTGGGTCCTCGACTTCTGTTGCTGTGAGACCTCACACCTGTTGAGCAGCCTGTGCCAGACGGCCAGAACCCACCTCCAGAGTCCCTACGACTAAAGTTGTCTAGAGCTGCTCCAGACACTGCCAGGGTTGCTGCTGACAGGAATGGAGTCCCAGGAGAAAGCCCTGCCCATGGGCATCCGCCAGCAGACCAGCCTGGCCCTGCACGGCCTGCCTCCGCTGCTCCTTGTCCATCCTGGATGGCATCTGCTGGCCACAGGCTGAGTTCACACCAGCAGAGACTGGCCCCAGGGAGAGCAAGGCAAGCCCCCTATCCTGGGATGAGTGGACACTGAGGACTCCCGGACCCAGCTCTGGGTGGTTCCAGCTCAGGACTGCTCCCTTCGGGCTCTGCCCTTGGCCCCCACTCTCCTCCCCTCATCTGGACGCACACTCTCCCCTGCCTCTTGATCCCAGCAGGGAAGGTGACTCCCCTGACACTCGAAGCCAGGGAGGTCTCTGTACACTGAGCCCGGTGTTGCACCTCTGCCAGGGCTTTCTCAGATGCCCGAGGAGGCACAGCCATGAGAGGGAGGAACCAGAGCTGAGGGCAGGAACCACAGAGATGCAGATGCGGGGATGGGGCATGGGACGGAATGGTGGCAGTGCATGAGGCGTGAGGCTGCAGTCAGCACCTCAGCACCTGGTGCGGGGATGCGCCACATGGGCCTGCAGGGCCTCCCGGATGCCACGCTGCCAGTCTCGAGCCAGCTGCGCTGGGGTCACTGAGGCCTGGGAGCAACAGTGTGGGTCAGACCCTTGCAGGCGCTCCACCCGCCCACCCTCAGGACAGGAGCTGGGGCTGCGCCCGAACTCACCATATTTTGCACCCCCAGGTCGGCCCCGTAGAGCAGCAGCAGCTTCATGGCTTTGTAGCTGCCATGCTGCACAGCCTCGTGCAGAGCCGTGTCCCCTTCCTGTTGAGAACGCAGGTGGTCAAGCTTCACACGGGAAGGTCAGGGCTGTTATCACCGAGCAGATAGCACCTCTGGTCCTGGCTGGGGCTCATCAGTCCTTGCCCCAGTGGAACTGCCCAAGCAGGAAGACCAGTCGTTTGCCTTACCTTATCCTGTGCGTTTAGGTGGGCGCCACACTCAATGAGGTGCTCCAGGCAGTCAGGGTGCCGGGTGCGCACTGCCACGTGCAGGGGGGTGCTCCAGATCTGAGAGCACGTGGGGGGTCAGTGCTGGGTCTGGATTAGCGAGGCCTCCCCAACCCACCGGACTACATGCCCTCTTCTCCGGGAACTGTGACTGCTCCCTGCTCCTTTGCGTCCCTGACAGACCCACAAAGCACTGTACCCTGTACCTTGTCCCGGGCATTGACCTGGGCTCCCTGGTTAAGCAACTGTTTGAGGATATCCAGATGTCCTCCACGGCAGGCCCAGAACACAGGTGTCCTGTCCAGCTGCAGAACAAAAGCATCCAAGCACTCAGAGCTGCTGGGATGTTAAGCAGGGCATCGACCTGAGGCTGGGCCTTCCCCAGTCCTCACCAAGTCCCGAGCGTCCACTGTGGCACCTGCTGCCAGCAGCTTGTTCACCAGCTGGCTGTGACCCTTCAGACAGGCCCAGTGCAAGGCGGTGCGGTGGAGCTGGAGGCAAAGATGGGAGATTAGGCAGAGGGAGCGCAGCCACCCCTAACGACCCCACGGGGTCCCCTTCCCCAGGCCAGGTCCCTGAACGAAATTGCTGCTTCCTCCACCACACAGTGGGCCACTCCCTCCCCTCCCTCTGGAGGCACCATAAGAGTAAAGAGCCCGGCAGCCTCCTAGGCCAGGACTTGAACACAATAAAGGTGGTGCTCCTGCAACTGCAGCTGCTGCCAGCCAACTCAACCCCACCTGCGCTACCTTGTCATGGGCATTGGGATCCCCTCCGTCTGTCAGGTACTTGTCAATCAGAGACTCCTGGTTCTCAGCAGCTGCCTTCAGGAACATCTCCAGGCCCACAGGCTCTACCTGGGCCTGGGGCTGCAGCTAGGTCAATTGAAAACAAGACCAAATCATTCCCAAAGGCCACAGGTGCCCAAAATGGCACAGCTTCACCACCTGGCCTGCATGTCCTAGACAGCCAACTGAGGACTGGCACAGCTGGCTTGTACTAATGCAGTTTCTTAGTCTAATCCCACCCCAAGTGAATAGACACCGTGTGTGTGTGTGTGTGTGTTATGGATTGACTTGTATCTCCCCAAGAATCATATGAAGTCATGAAGTCCTAACCCCAGGTACCTCAGAATGTGACCTTGTTTGGAAACAGAGCCACTGAAGATGTAGTAAGTTAAAATGAGGTCATGCCTGAGTATGATGGGCCCCTTACCAATGCAACTTGTGTTAAAGTGAGCTCTAATCCCGTGTGACTGATGTCCTTATGGAAGGGGACACATGGACACAGGCATGCACACAGAATGCCCAGTGAACATGAGGGCGGAGTCGGGTGATCATCTGCAAGCCAAGGAATGCCAAAGATTGCCAGCATTCACCAGAAGCCAGAGAGGCATGAAGGGATTCTTCCCTCACCGCTCTCAGAACCAGATCCACTGACACCTTCCGCTCAGCCTTCCAGCACCCAGGACTGGGAGTTGACACACGCCTGCTGTTGAGGCTGTCCAGGCTGTGGGACTTTGTTGCGGCAGCTGTGGTGGACACATCCATGGGGGCTCGAGTGGATTTCACTGGCTGTGTGTTCCTGGCCTGCAGTGCCTACCCCTCCCCAAGCCCTTCCTTTGGAACTGGAGCCCTGGTATGTGCACTGCCCAAATCCTGAACTCCCACTCACCTTAACCAAGGGCTCAGGTTTCTTGGGGGGGACTCTGTGTCTCAGTCTTTTTTCTCTCCGTCTTTGAACCAAATTTTCCAAGTCAGCCAGATTATTCAGATTAACTCTGGAACTGCTAAATCTTTCCAGCTGGAGCAGAATGTGGGCAAAAAACAAGACCATGCCAGCCATCAGCCACTGGTCGGGACCTCTCCGCCCTGCCGACAGGAGACACCAGCTTCTCGCCCCACCAGAGCCCCTCCAGGCCTCACTGCTCAGCCGGCCTCAGGGTTTAACCACCCCCCAACCCCACCCCTGCCCCTCTCTCACTTTTCTCTTCTTTTCTTCTTCCAATTTCAGCTTCTCATGGGCCACAGCCTCTTGGGGGCCCCTCCTCCAGTCACTAGGCCAGCCTCTAGGGTCAGGAACTCCATGTCCAAATCTCAACACTTTCCCTTCATCTCTTTCTTCACTTACCTGTAGGAATATTATATGAGTACTGAGTCGGGAAAATTGGAGGAACCCTCCTTAAGAAAACAGCTGTGCAGTACCAGCCAGCTGTCTGACAAGGGTGGATGTCACAAGTCTGGTGCACGGGATGGGAGTCAGCCTCAAAGCCCTGGCAGTCCAGAGTGCTGGCAAGCTCCTTCACCCTGTGGGTGCTGCTGGCTCCACAACTGTGGCATCAGGTTGACATCAGCTGACACCCAGGGGAACAACAGATCCCCGCCTACCCTGCTCCTGTGCAGCAGCTGGGGGAACAAGAGGCCGATATCTATTTATACTGCTGGGTGTGTGCCCAGGTAGCCTCAAGGCAGATGACACCTTAGCTTCCCCCATGCTGTTGTCCTTAAGATTCCTACCAGATCACACCTACTGCCACCTGACTCCAAGCTTAGAGGGACAGAGGAGAAGCCCCCGTGGTAAAATTCTAAATGCCTGGGTTCAGTTCAGGCTCCTTTTGAAGTTACATTTAAGCTCAAACACTTTAAGCACTTGCCTAAAGGAGTTGTGAAGGTTATAAGTTATTGGGACCTGTGCCTGGGGCAGGGCCTCTGCAGCAAACATCCATGTTGCCTCCTGCCAGGCCCCACCTAAGGACTTCAGGAGCTGGGGAGCACTGAGGAATTGGCATGCTGTGGGGAAAGAACAGGCTGGAATGACAGGGTAACAGAGCCTAGGGCTTTCCAGCCAGGTAGAACCATATTTCTTCTAAAGAACTCTAGCAACCTAACACTTCCCTGCACTGGTCTCCTAGCAGAGACTGCACCATACACCTTCTATGCCCCTCCTCACGAAAACTGACATCCCCAAGCACCACTGTTTCTCTCACTGCCCAGGAAGCACAAGAGCACCATTCCCCATCCCCAAGACAGCCAGGCCCCCTGGCCATTTCCAGAGCAACAACTATCATGATGCTCAGCTACACCTGCATCTTCCAAAGTAAACTGCCATTATCCGTTCCTCTTTTGCCCTGGTGACATCCAGGGCAAAACTTACTGAACTCAAGGATTTTCATGTCTCCTTTCCCCTTTGACTTGTTCCCTAACCCTCTCAGCACCTCACATGAGCACCCAGCAGACACACCAAAAGAACTGCATGCTCAGCTGGGTGTGGTGGTTCACGCCTGGAGTCCCAGCTACTCAGGAGGCCCAGGTGGGAGGATCACTTGAGCCTGGGAGTTGAAGGCCAGGCTGGACAACATAGCAAGACTCCATTTCAAAAAAACAGATTTTTATAAAAGAACTGCATGCTTCCTTGCTCCTAAGACTTGACTCTCACACCACAGAAAGAAGCTGCCAGCACTCCTCTAGCCAGACAGCCTCCTCCTGCCAAGCCAGTCCCGGGGTGCCTCCCGCCTCCATCCCACATCCTTACCAACTGCTGAATGCTGAGGAAGTCCATGGTCCCCCCTATTCCTCACACCCCCCAGTGAGAAGAGCTGAGCTGCTCAGCCATTTATAGGAGCACCTGGGGGTGGGGAGGAAAGAACTGGCCCAGAGGCTTGTGCCTGGGCCAGATGACTCTGGGACTCTGTCACACCAACCAAAATACCAGTCTGGGAATGCAGCCCACTGGGGACAGGAAAAGGAGCTGTTTGGAGCTGAGTTGGCTACATCCTCCGACACCCACTCCCGCATCTCTGCCATGCCCCACACCTCAGGCTATTTAACCAACAAGCTGCTAGTCCAGATTCAGGTGAAACGTGTGCCCCTCTCCGAAGTTTAGATGCCACTTGTGAAGAAAGCTCAGCCTGGGCCTCCATGTTGTAGGGCCATCTGCCTACAAACCTGAAAGCTCAGCCTCCCAGTCTGGGAGACCAGAAGCTTGACGGGGTGATGGTCAGGAAGGCACGAGCGGCCAGCCTATAGCCTCAGCCCTCCTGGTGGCCACAAGAGGTAACTGTGACCTCCCAACCTGCAGTTTCAAGGACGCCCTTCCCTGTGCCCCTGGGCTCCTCTGCTCCTCCCCCAGCTCTCTGAGAACCCATGGCAGCTACCCCAGCTCCAGAGCCAAGCCTAGTGCTTGTCCCCAGGCCTCTGGAAGTCTCCCGCCCCTCCACAGGCTCCTACCAGATGCTCTCCAGGGAAGGAACAGCCCTCTCCACAGGGAAGGGGAGACAGATCTGCGCCAGGTCCCAGGATGGAATAGTAACCATGAAATCCAGCCACAGAGCAATGTGTCTCAAGCCACCAATCACCTTTCCTAATTCTCAGGAAGCCAGCCACACCCTTCACCCAGCTGGACCTTGAACTCCACCTTGGCCTTTGCAAGGAAATCAGATAGCCAGTAAATAAGACCCCAGAATCGAAGCAATGTAAGCAGAGATGACCAGGACACAAGGAGGGAGAACTGTGGCCAAGGACAGTCACAAGCCCCAAACGGCTGCCCAGCTCTTAGAGCTGGCCTCTGTGAAGGGCTTCCACATTTTCAGAGAACTCAAGGAAAGTCAGAGCTTTCTTAGAAAACTTTTTTTTTTTTTTTTTTTTAAATTTTGAGACAGAGTCTCACTCTGTTGCCCAGGCTGGGAGTACAGTGGCGTGATCTCAGCTCGCTGCAACCTCTGCCTCCTCGGTTCAAGCAGTTCTCCTGCTTCAGCCTCCCAAGTAGCTGGGATTACAGGTGACTGCCACTATGTCCAGCTAATTTTTTGTATTTTTAATTGGGTTTTACCGTGTTGGCCAGGCTCATCTTGAACTCCTGACCTTAAGTGATCTGCTGGCTTTGGCCTCCCAAAGTGCTGGGATTATAGGTGTAAGCCATTGCACCCAGCCAAAAACTCAGTTCTTAGGCTAAATTTAGGGTGCTTTTTTCAGACAAAGATGTTTTTTTTTGAGATGGAGTTTCACTCTTGTTACCCAGGCTGGAGTGCAATGGTATACAATCTTGGCTAACTGAAACCTCCATCTCCCAGGTTCAAGCAATTTTCCTGCTTCAGTCTCCCGAGTAAATGGGATTACTAGGCATGCGCTACCATGCCTGGCTAAGATTTGTATTTTTAGTAGAGACAGGGTTTCACCGTATTAGCCAGGCTGGTCTCGAAATCCTGACCTCAGGTGATCCTCCCTCCTCGGTCTCCCAAGTGCTGGGATTACAGGTGTGAACCACCGCACCTGGCCTACTTCCACGTATAGATCCATACATTTATACTTGATCTTAGCCAAAAGGCTGAGAGGCAATCACATTCTCCAGGTGTGTCCTGTGTGAAAAGGGTCCCCCACTGTGGACACAAGCAGCACTCTCCTGTCAGCAAGCTGTGCCCAGCTGCATGGCAGAGAACTCGGGTCTGTAGAACTCAACCACTCCCTATCAGGGAGGAGTTGGTTCTCTCTCTCTCTTTTTTTTTTTAACATTACACCCCATGCTCCAATGCACCTATTTATAAATGCTCCTGTAAATAAACATCTTTGTAACCATGGAAGAACATTTCTCTACATAGCTACAGAGAAATCAGATTATTGGTTCTGCTCATTTAAATTTAAATAGCTACTGTCAAACTGCCATCTACAGTGGCTGTACCAAATCCCATGAATGGATACAAACAAACAAAGTGACAGCATAAAACCAAAAAAATACATATATAAAACAAAGGATCAGGATCTAGAATATAAACACTCCTATGAATCAATACGAAGCATTTCTAAAATTGGCTCAGGCAGGCAGCTCACAGAAGACACAGGTGCTCAAACCAGCAATGAAAACTGAAAGCCACAGCCCTTTTTCCCATCGGAGTGTTAAAATGAATGAAATCATGGTATGCGTGAAGGGCTGATGAGGAGCTGGGGAAGCAGGCCTCCCCGAGGCTGGTTACCACGCGCCAGGCATGCTCTCGAGGGCTCACCGAGTGCACACTCACCTCGTCCCATGATGACTCTGAGGCAGGTCCTATGATAACCATTCTCATTACAAAAGAGAAAACGGAGGGGCACACAGCTAAAGTGACTTTTACCAAGGGCATTCAGCTAGAAAGCAGCTTGTCACATAGTCCCTATTTTCTTCTAATCCTTACATGGTTTTGTGTTTTTATATTTAGATCTTTAATCTTGTAATTTATCTTGGTGTGTGGGATGAGGTAAGGATATAACTTTATTTTTTTCCAAATGAATAGATGTCTCATATGAACTAATTTAGAATATGATCATCTGTCCAGGCTTAAATACTTTCAGCCACACCAAATCTACTCCCTCACTTCCACAGTGACCAGACTGGGGCTCTTCCCGGGTCATCTGGCCTCAGTTCATGGATGCTGACCAACGCAGGGGCTTGGAGAACTGGTCTGTGTACCCTTGAAAGGCAGCTGAAGACAGGGTGCCAGCTCAGCTGGATAGCAGGTCCTGCAGGTCACTGTTGCAGGGCAGCAGGTCACATGCTAGCCGTGCTTTTCGGTCCCGGACGGCCTTCAGGGCTGGACTGTGTTGAAGAAGGAGGGAGCAGATGTCCCCATGACCCCTCTCAGCAGCCTGCAGAGAGAGAGGCTGGAATCAAAGCACATACCCCACACTGGGCTCTGCTCTTTCTTGTTCCACCTTCAGGGACTTCTTTCTTCTAAAAAAGGGGACTCATGGAAATAGAGACACAGCTGTTTGAGTAGATTTCTCTTAATTCCCACCAAATCCCAATGACTTTATACATATTTGTGGAGTACCCCAGTGTCATTCTCGCAGTTAGCCTCAGTTTTTCTTTCTTGTGTCCTTTGCCAGGTTGGCCATTCTTGTCTTTGGCCAGACCTACACATTAAAAACGAGGCCGGGCGCGGTGGCTCACGCCTATAATCCCAGCACTTTGGGAAGCTGAGGTGGGTGGATCACCTGAGGTGGGGAGTTCAAGACCAGCCTGACCAACAGGGAGAAACCCCATCTCTACTAAAAATACAAAATTAGCCAGGTGTGGTGGCGCATGCCTGTAATCCCAGCTACTGGGGAGGCTGAGGAAGGGGATCACTTGAACGTGGGAGGTGGAGGTTGCTGTGAGCCAAGATTATGCCATTGCACTCCAGCCTGGGCAACAGGAGCAAAACTCCATCTTAAAAAGAAATAAATACATACATACAGACCTAAGTAAATAAAAATGAGTACAGCACCTTGTATCTCCAGGCATTGCTCACAAACCTGCACACATCACCTACAGGGAGTTGTGCTTTGTGGGCACGGGAGGCACCAGACATGGCACCCACCCTTTGGGAACTTTTGTTTATTTTCTTATATTTAAAAATTTTTATCTTTATGTTTTAGAGACAGGGTCTTACTGTGTTACCCAGGCTGGCGTTTGTAGTGCAATTATAGCTCACTGCAACTCCTGGGCTCAAGTGATCCTCCTGCCTCAGCCTCCGAAGTAGCTGAGATTACAGCCACTGCACCTCGTCTGTACTTGGCTAAAGTTTAAAAATATATATATTTATTTTGAATTTAAAAAAATAGAGACAGGGCTGGGTATGGTGGCTCACGCCTATAATCTCAGCACTTTGGGAAGCTGAGGTGGGCAGATCACTTGGGGTCAGGAGTTTGAGACCAGTCTGGCAACATGGTAAAACCCCATCTCTGCTAAAAATACAAAAATTAGCTGGGCGTGGTGGTGTGCACTTGTAATTCCAGCTACTCAGGAGGCTGAAGCATGAGAATCACTTGAACCTGGGAGGCAGAGTTTGCAGTGAGTCGAGATCGCACCACTGCACTCCAGCTTGGGCGATAGAATGAGACTCTATCTCTAAAAAAAAAATAGAGACAGGGTCTCACCATGTTGCACAGGCTGGTCTCAAGCTCCTGTACTCAAGCAATCCTCCTACCTCAGCCTCTCAAAGTGCTGGGATTATAGGCATGAGCCAAAGAGCCTGGCCAGGAAACCTTTAGACAGGCAGGGAAAGACTGGGGCCAGGTTTCTGTGTTCTCTTCTTCTTTTTTAAGGTAGAAGATCCTAGTCTGGATGTCAATTTCTAACCTAACTCCTCCAAAAAATACAGTTAAGTGATTTACACAGATTATCTTATTTAACTTTCACAATAGCCCTCACAGGCAAGAATCATCATTATTCCCATTTTACAGATGAAGAAATTTAGGCTTAATAATTGGCTTGCCCAAAGTCACAGGGCTAATGTGGTCACCTGGGATTCTAAACCAGGTTTGCCTGGACTCTTAATAACTCTGTGAACCACTATATTTCCTACTCCTCCCAACAGACAAATTGATAGACTACAGGGGCTTTTGAGAGGTATCAAAATTAAACTAGAGGCAACCGACATCCCAAATTTGAATCCAAATCTTTACTCAGCTGGTCCTCCTGATGAGTACAGAACCAAAGCTCTCAATTCCACTGCCTTCAGGCAGTGAGCAGTTGTGAGATGCATCTCAAATAATTTTTACAAAAAGCACCAATGTTTGCAAATAGTTTTAAAAGACACATACACAGTCTGGGTGCAGTGGCTCACGCCTGTAATCCTAACACTTTAGGAGGCCAAGGTGGGTGGATGACCTGAGGTCAGGAGTTCAAGACCAGCCTGGCAAACATGGTGAAACTGTCTCTACTAAAAATATTAAAAAATTAGCTGGTATGGTGGCGCACACCTGTAATTACAACTACTTGGGAGGCTGAGGCAGGAGAATCGCCTGAGCTCGGGAGGTGGAGGCTGCAGTGAGCCAAGATTGCGCCACTGCACTCCAGCCTGGCAACAGAGTGAGACTCTTGTCACAAAACAAAACAAAAACAAAAACATACACAATAAACAATTCAAATATCTCACATTTGCATTATCTGCATGAGAGAAAAAGGGATGAAGATGCACCTAACTATGGGAAACACCAGGCAGGTATACCCACAGCAGCATCCTGGCTATTTATATCCATCATGTGAACTGTAACAGAAAAATGCCTGAGCAACATCATTAAGAAATAATCTGTCTATCCAATTGGCAAGGATATTTTTTAAAACCCAACATTGAGCTGTTCACTCAGTGTTATTCACCGGGCACCTGTGCTAAGTGCTAAGGCTGCAATGTGTTTTGTTTGTTTTTATTTTTTTTAGATAGACTCTCTCTGTGCCACCTAGGCTGGAGTGCAGTGGTGCAATCTCGGCTCACTGCACCCTCCATCTCCAGGATTCAAGTGATTTTTGTGCCTCAGTCTCCCAAGTAGCTGGAATTCCTGGCTAATTTTTTTTTTTTTGAGACGGAGTTTCGCTCTTCTTACCCAGGCTGGAGTGCAATGGCGCAATCTCGGTTCACCGCAACCTCCGCCTCCTGGGTTCAGGCAATTCTCCTGCCTCAGCCTCCTGAGCAGCTGGGATTACAGGCATGCGCCACCACGCCCAGCTAATTTTTTGTATTTTTAGTAGAGACGGGGTTTCACCATGTTGACCAGGGTGGTCTCGATCTCTTGACCTCGTGATCCACCCGCCTCGGCCTCCCAAAGTGCTGGGATTACAGGCGTGAGCCACCACGCCCAGTCAATTTTTGTATTTTTAGTAGAGATGGGTTTTGCCCTATTGCCCAGTTTGGTCTCAAACTCCTGGACTCAAGCAATCTGCCTGCCTTGGCCTCCCAAAGTGCTGGGATTACAGGCATGAGCCATCGAGCCCAGCAAGGCTGCAACAATTTAAACAGGACAAAGCCCAAGCTGTCTCTACTGAGACATGTAGACTTCAAACAGGGATTTCAAGAGGTACCGGAATTAGGAAAAGTTGAGTCCATGGTACATACAGTTAGGCACATATCCAGGTGAGTTAACCATGTCTGGGGATCAAGAAAGGCTCTCATGGGGTGTGAAATGTAAGCTAAGATCCAGAAGAAAGCCAGATAAAAAAACTGGAGGGGAGAGGCACCCAGACAGGGTTATATATGGCTTGTTATATATGGCTCTGGGAGGACAGAGTAGTAGGTTCAAGCAAATTAAAATGGCTGGATGTGATCACTCACACCTGTAATCCCAGCACTTTGGGAGGATCGCTTGGGCCCAGGAGTTGAGACCAGCCTGGGCAACATAGTGAGATACTCTGTCTGTACTACTCCTAATAATAATTTTAAAAGCCTGGGCAATGTGGTGAAGCTGTCTCTACAAAAATTAGCCAGGTGTGGTGGCATGCGCCTGTAGTCCCAGCTACTTGGGAGGCTAAGATGGGAGCATTGCTTGAGCCCAGGAGGTCAAGGCTACAGTAAGCTGTGATCATGCACTTGTACTCCAGCCTGGGTGAAAAAGTGAGACTTTGTCTCAAAAAATAAAAAAATAAAAACAAATAAATAGCCGGTCATGGTGATGCATGCCTATAGTCCTAGCAGTTCCACCTTAGCCTCCTGAGGTGGGAGGATCACTTAAGCATAGGAAGTCGGGGCTGCAGTGAGCTGTAATCATGCCACTGTACTCCAGCCTGAGTGACAGAGCACAACCCTTTCTCAAAAAAAAAAAAAGAGAAGAGAAAAGAAGAATGATTAGTAGGGCCTCTGAGTGTAAGAGACAAGGGAACTGCTCAGAAGAAAACTGGAGGGTTGGGGGAAAAAAAGAGAAGGAAAAAAAAAACTGGAGAAGAGGGCAAGATCAAACCCCAGAAAACCTTCAAAATAATTCATGAACCTGAAGAAAGCAAGCCTCTGAAGGACTCCAAGTCGGGGCGTGGCACGATCAGAACCGCTTTAAACCATTGCTCTGGGAGAAAACCAAAGAAGGGGTGAGAGAGGACTAGATTTACACATGATTTACACACATATATGATTTATACACATATGCCACATATGCACAGACCACCTCTCAAAGATGCCTGCAAACTCAATAAAGTGGCCAAGCAGGGTGGCTCACACCTGTAATCTCAGCACTTAGGGAGGCAGAGGCAGGAGGATTGATTGAGGCCAGGAGTTTGAGACCAGCCTGGGCAATCCAGTGAGACCCCATTCCCCATAAAAAAAGGAAAAAAAAAAAAATTGATAAAGTGAATGCCTTAAAGAAGACTGAGGGATGAGGAGTTGGATGGGAGGGAAACTCGCTTTCATAGGATGCCTTTGTGTGCTCTTCAGATTGTTTACCATGCACAGGTATTTCCAGCAAGAAAGAGTTTAATTAAATGATCACTTTGTCTAACATAGCGAGTGAACTACAGGGACAGGTGAGAGTATATATAAGTTTCAGAAAACTATATGGAAAAGGCTTCATGATATGTCACTAAGGGAAAGAAAACTACATTGTAATTTATATGCTCAGAAAAAAGGCTAGAGAATTATCCATTAGTCCTAAAGTGATGACAGGTGAGCAAGGGGATTACAAATGACTTTAACTGTCTTATCTCTGCTTTTCTGTTTTCCTGTTTTCTACATGAACATGTTATAACTTTAAAAAAAGGGAAACAACATTTTTGGAAGGGGGAAGGGGCCCACCTTATGCAGACTTGTCATGCCTTCGTCATCCACCACCCTGGGGTTGGACCCATGTGATAGCAGGAGCCGTGCAATTTCAGTGTGCCCACAGTAGCTGGCTCGGTGCAGAGCAGTGGCACCCCCATGGGTCTGGGCATCACAATTAGCTCCGCTTTCCAGCAGGAACTGGCACACAGCGTAATGCCCATTGCGGCTGGCATAGTGCTGCAGGGAACAGAGACCGAGGTAAGATGGCAGAAGCCAGGCAGGCAACAGTGTGGTGGAGAGGTGGGAGCACAGCCCCCTGCAGTGAGGGGCCTGGAGTTATCTCAGGTGCCACCTCCAGCAGCCATGTGACCTGGGCAAGCTTCTGCATAACTAAACTGGGTTTGTTCAACTGAGAAATGGGGAAAATGATCATTCCTATCTCACAGAATCAGTGACTCATGCCTGTAATCCCAGCACTTTGGGAGGCCAAAGCAGGCAGATCACCTAAGGTCAGGAGTTGGAGACCAGCCTGGCCAATGTGGTGAAACCCCATTTCTACTAAAAATACAAAAATTAGCTGGACGTAGTGGTGCACACCTATAGTCCCAGCTACTCAGGAGGCTGAGGCAGGAGAATCACTTGAACCTGGGAGGCAGAGGTTGCAGTGGGCCAAGTGTGCCACTGCACTCCAGCCTGAGTGACAGAGCAAGACTTTATCTCAAAAAAAAAAAACAAAAAAACAACTAAATTATTGCTGTAAAGCTCTCACACTAATTTAAAAAATCCAGAAATTTTGCTGGAAGAGAAGAAAGGGAGGGAGACAATAAGAGGTAAACATTAATCCCCCTGCTCAGAAAGCAGGTGTCTCCTGACTTAATGCTTCTCTCTCCCGACCCCGTGCTCCTCCCTAGCTCACCAGCGCAGTGTAGCCAGCTGAGTCAGGCTGACTCGGGTCCTCGGCCTTCTGGATTAAATGTTTCACTCGGCCCAAGTCTCCATTCAGGGCTGCTGACCAGATTCCTGCAGAAAATCGACCAAAGCACTGAATGATGCTGAATGACTGGGAGTTTCAGAGCTTCCTTTGCCTCTTGACCTCAGTTTTCTTGTCTATAAAATAGAGAATACTCATTCCTTCAACAAATATCAACTGAGTACTCCTCTGTGTCAAGGTTTGTTCTGGGTGCTGGTGACTTAGCTGTGAACAAGACAGATAGGGGCACGTCTCTTCAGGACAGAAAGACTGGGCAGACACAGACATCTTTATCCCACTTCAAACATAGAAGTGCTGGATGAAGTAATGTTTAAAATGTTTGGATCTAGAGTGAAATTCAGGCCAGGTGCATGGCTCGTGCCTGTAATCCCAGCACTTTGGGAGACTGAAGCAGGTGGATTACCTAAGGTCAGGAGTTCAAGGCCAGCCCGGCCAAGAGGGTGAAACCCTGTCTCTACTAAAAATACAGATTTAGCCAGGCGTGGTAGCACATGCCTGTAATCCCAGCTACTCAGGAGGTGAGGCAGGAGAATCACTTGAACCCAGGAGGCGGAGGTTGCAGTGAGCTGAGATCATGCCATTACACTCCAGCCTGGGTGACAAAAGTGAAACCATCTCAAAAAAAAAAAAAAAAAAATTCAAAAGCAATAAAAGGAAATTTCACAAAGTGAGAACCATAGTCACGGTGGTGAGGTCACTGAAGCTGTGAATCTGAAGTGCACTCGGAGCTGCACACACAGCTCAGGGGCTCTGGTGCAAACACCTAGGCAGGGTCTAGAGTGAAAGCCGCTGCTACACACATGGCAGGAGCTGGGGCAAGGATCTGTGCAAAAAGCCAGCAGGCAGGAAGTGCCCTAGCGTGACAGACTGGGGCTGGACAGTCTCTATCTCCTGCCTTGCAAAGCAAGCTGCCACGCCCAGGTAATTCATTCATTCAGCAAGTTTTTATTTACTGGGTGTGTGGCACTGTTCTAGGCACTAGAAATCAACAGAGAATAAAAGATCCACCCTAAATTTTAGGCCTCAGAGAGCTTACATTCTTTTTTTTTTTTTTTTAGATGGAGTTTTTTTGTTGTTGTTACCCAGACTGGAGTGCAATGGCACGATCTCGGCTCACTGCAACCTCTGCCTCCTGGGTTCAAGCAATTCTCCTGCCTCAGCCACCCAAGTAGCTGGGACTACAGGCGTGCACCACCATGCCCAGCTAATTTTTTTGTATTTTTATATTTTAGAGACGGGGTTTCACCTTGCTGACCAGGATGGTCTCAATCTCTTGACCTGCCTCGGCCTCCCAAAGTGCTGGGATTATAGGCGTGAGCCACCGTGCCCGGCCTCAGAGAGCTTACATTTTAACTGAAAAAGATAGACACCAAATATATCTATTTTTTTACATATACCATCAAATATATATATCATCTATATATTTGTTATATATTTATGTATACTATATAAACATTTTATATACAGTTGTTATAATTTCACACATATATAGCCTATAAATTTTATAAAATAAGTCTGGTGGGCTGGGTGCAATGGCTCATGCCTGTAATCCCAGCACTTTGGAAAACCGAAGTGGATGGATCACCTGAGGTCAGTAGTTCGAGACCAGCCTGGCCAACATGGCAAAACCTCATCTCTATTAAAAAAACAAAAATTAGCCAGGCACAGTGGCATGTACATGTAGTCCCAGCTACTTGGGAGGCTTAAATAGAATTGCTTGAAGGTGGAGGTGGAGGTTGCAGTGAGCGGAGATTGCACCACTGCACTCCAGTCTGGGCAACACAGCAAGACTCCATCTCAAAAATAATAATAATAATAATAAGTCTGGTGGTGCTAAATGCTCTGAAGAAAAACCATAGGAGGGAATGAGCAATGGTCAAGGATGGCCCCTCTGATAAGGCAACCTTAGAACAGAAACCTAAAGATCATGAGAAAAGGTACTATTCAAATAGGTGTGAGAAGATAGCAAAGGCAGAAAAGAAAACCAAAAAACCAGCTACCCTGACCTATGCAAATTGGAGGTATGGGAAGGATATCTGTACCTTTATAGAACAAAAACTCCAAGCTAAGAATCTATTATAATCTGGATCTTTCAGCCAGGCGCTGTGGCTCACGCCTGTAATCCCAACACTTTGGGAGGCCGGTGGATCACAAGGTCAGGAGTTCAAGACCAGCCTGACAAACATGGTGAAACCCTGTCTCTACTAAAAAAAAAATACAAAAATTATCCAGGTGTGGTGGCTCATGCCTGTAATTCCAGCTACTCGGGAGGCTAAGGCAGGAGAATCACTTGAACCAGGGAGCTGGAGGTTGCAGTGAGCTAAGATGATGCCACTGCACTTCAGCCTGGCAATAGACTCCATCTCAAAAAAAGGAAAAAGAAAAAATGATTTAAACATTTGGCCGGGCACGGTGGCTCACGCCTATAATCTCAGCACTTTGGGAGGCCAAGACAGGTGGATCACGAGGTCAAGAGATGGAGACCATCCTGGTCAACAAGGTGAAACCCTGTCTCTACTAAAAATACAAAAATTAGCTGGGCATGGTGGTGCGCGCCTGTAGTCCCAGCTACTCGGGAGGCTGAGGCAGGAGAATTGCTTGAACCCAGAAGGCGGAGGTTGCGATGAGCCGAGATCGTGCCATTGCACTCCAGTCTGGGTAACAACAGCGAAACTCTGTCTCAAAAAAAAAAAAAAAAATAAAAATCTGGATCTTTCATAAAAGCTGACCCAGGCAAGTGAACTCTCTAAGGGCCAGGCAGACACCTGGAGGCGGAAGTTGCCGTGGGCCAAGATTGTGCCACTGCACTCCAGCCTGGGCAATAGAGGGAGACTCTTTCAAAAAAAAAAAAAAAAAAGCAAGATGATAGATACATCAGAGTAACCAGCACCTAACTTTGGACAAGGCAATGTTTACTTCTCAACAACAGCACAATTGACCTTTTTAGGCTGGATGATTACCATAGGGAGCTGTCCTGTGCACTGTACCATGTATAATGCATCTCATCTCTACCTACTACAGGCCTGTAGCAGCCTCCAGATTGTGACAACCCAAAATGTCTCCAGACACTGCCGAAGTCCCTTAAAAGGCAGAACTGCCCCAGTTGAGAACCAGGATGTTTAGGGAAGGCCTCTGAAGAAATAACATTGGAGCTGGGATCTGAAAAATAACATCAGCTAGTTTAACAGTTGTAAGGAAGCCCATCAGCAAGTCCAATGGCCTTAATTCAGGCAAAGGTCTTGCATATTTGAGACACCAAAACAAGACCAGTGTGGCTGCAGCATAGTGATTGGGAGAAGAAAAGCATGAGAAATAAAATGAGGGAGAGAAGTAGAGCCAGCAGCAGTGGGTCCACAGAGCTTTGTAAGCCGTAACAGGGAATGATCCGAGTTTTCTTTTTCTTTTCTTTCCTTTTTTTGAGACGGAGTTTCGCTCTTGTTGCCCAGGCTGGAGTGCAATGGCACAATCTCAGCTCATTGCAACCTCCGTCTCCTGGGTTCGAGCGATTCTCTTGCCTCAGCCTCCCGAGTAGCTGGGATTACAGGCATGTGCCACCACGCCCGGCTAATTTTTTGTATTTTTAGTAGAGATGGTGGGGGAGGGGGCCAGGGAAAAATCATTTAGTAGAGATGGAGTTTCTCCATGTTGGTCAGGCTGGTCTCAAACCCCTGACCTCAGGTGATCCACCCGCCTCGGCCTCCCAAAATGCTGGGATTACAGGCGTGAGCCACTGCGCCTGGCCACAGAGATTTCTCATTTTCAAAAAGCCATTCTGGCTGCTTTGTGAGAGTAGAAAACCCTGTAGGAGGGCAAGCATGGAAGCCGAAAGACCATCTGAGGCAACCACCTCAGCAGTGCAGAAGGCAGTGGTAGGAGAGGTGGAGGGAAGTAGGCAGGTGCCAGAACCATGGTAAAGAAAGAGTTCTATGCTAATGCTTACACAGCAGTGGCAATCAAGGGCAGCATTGTTGTTACTGCACTGGCTGCGACCGCACGGACAGATGACACAGCATAGTAGCACAGTGGTTCCCAACACCCAGAAGAAGCACCTTGATTTCCCGCCTTCCTCTGTTCCTACTGGCAACATAATCTCCGTGTAATCCGGGGCAAACGTGTTACCTCTCTGGGTCCCACAGATGAGATGCCCTGACTTGAAGGCTGCCCGTGCTAAGCTCCTGCTGTCTCTAAAGCATGCATGCTGCCTGGCACCCGGGGTTAAGCAAGGGCCAGTGTCCTCCTTCACCAAGCAGCCCCCAGGCCTGCAGCTCCATGCCCCTCAGGATGGGCGCAATGCCCCAGGTGCAGATTCTGCTCCCCGGTCCCTCTCTCCAATACCTGAGCAGACTTGTGTCTCCCAAGCAGTGTTGTCCCCCGTCACTCGGAAAGGTTACGGAAACCAGTGCGTCGGCTTCGCCGCCGCCCGCGGGACAGGGCTCATGCAGGAGACACTTGGTATGCTCTCGGGATGCGGGAGCCTGGAGTCCCGCCCGCCGTCTCTCACCAGGCCCCAAGCTCTCAGGGCCTAGTTCAACCGCCCCTCCTTAACCTGGCGCCTCCTCCTTAGGCCGGGGCCTGGGAAGAGCCGGCAGGGCCGCGCGGCCGCCTCACCCCTCTCGAAGTCCATCTCCTCCAGCGTCTGCTGTACACCGAGCACTGCGCTGGGATGCGGGCAGCAGGGCCCGTCCGGGCAGGGCCGCGGCGTCGCCATCCCGGCTCCCACCCCAACCAACCACCCCAGGATTTCAGGCCCGCCCCGCGTCCCCTATCTGGCAGTTCGGCGTCCTACGCTATCATCGTAGTCCCGCCTCCTTGCCAAAGCTGACCAATCAAACGCCTAGGCCTTAGCTCCCAACCCAATCGCAGTGGTAGGGCGGGACTTATTGCGCCGGACTGTACCCCGAGGCAGCCGCGCGAGGGCGTCCGAGGCTAAGCTGAAGGCAGAGGTGCTGAGTTCCGAGAACCGCGCGCCCTGACGCGCTGGGCCGCCGGGCTTTGCAGGGTGTAGGGATGAGGCCTCTGGGTCGGGTGGGGAGTTTTCCCTTTTCCTTCGCCAGGGCCCAGCCCTCCAGCGGCTTTGCAGGCTCCTCTTGTTACCGCCCCTAGTCCCGCCGGGCTCCCAGGACTGGTGCGCCGGCTCGCTCCGCGGTCTTTTGTTTCGTTTTGAGATGGGGTCTGTCTCTGTCGCCCAGGCTGGAATGCTGTGGCGCGATCTCGGCTCACTGCAGCCTCCACCTCCCGGGTTCAAGCGATTCTCCTGCCCAACTGGGACTTACCGTGCGCCACCATGCCCGGCTAATTTTTTGTATTTTAGTTGAGACGGGGTTTTACCGTGTTAGCCAGAATGGTCTCGATCTTCTGACCTCGTGATCCGCCCGCCTCGGCCTCCCAAAGTGCTGGGATTACAAGCGTGAGCCAAGGCTCCTGGCCTCGCTCCACGGTCTTTACCCCCTCTTCCTGGATCACCTCTGGCCAAGGCCGACCGCCCCTGGGGCAGTGACAAAGTGACTGCTGGAAAGGCCTCGAGACACCCTGTACTCCGCTTTCTTAAAAGTACAGCAAGGAGCAGGTGGCCACAACTTGTCCTGCCTCTAGCTCCACCTACAGGGCACGGACAGGGCCTTGGTTTGTGCAGAACCCCACGGCCCCACAGTGGGCGCCGAGTTTACCGAATCCGTCTTCCTGATCAAATCATCATCTGGGTGGCCGTCTGCGGACGGTGCACCCACACAACCTGCTCCTCAGCCGACCCCAGCCTTCTCAATTCCCGGTTAAAACCTAGGCAGCCACCTGCTGAAGCCACAGTTAAGCTTACAGGGGAGACCTCACTTCCACCGCCTGATAGGCTTAGAAAGGGTGCATAAATGACAGGGAGGGGTTCTGTGCCACTCCCTCTCCAGGACAGTGGTCTGGTACACACTGGGTGTTTAAGTTCCTTTCCCACCTAGCTGGGGCCCTGAAGACCCTAGCATTCCTGGTGGGTAGAAGGCTGGACGTCATTTCTCCTCTCCTAAGTGGGTTGAAAACCGCATCCTCACACAGAAAACTCATCTCCACAACCTTCCTTTCCTTTGGCCCCCTCACTCCCACTAACTGCCGTGAGTTCTGGGAAGGCGCCGCTCCCACTCCACTTCTCCCCTGGACTCCCAGTGCCCTGACTTCTCCCTCTGGCCAGAAGCCAAGGCTAGCTCCCAAGGGGCTGTGGCCATGTCTGGTTCCCAGCCCCACAGCCACCACTGTGGGAATACACTGGAGCTGGGCTGTCCCCTCCCACAGGCAGGCAGGGACCACAAAAGAGGTGGCTGCCCTGGACTGTGGGGGAGGCCCAGTCCAGCTTCCCTTTACCCAAAGAGCCTTCCCTCTTGGCACCAAGAAAGGTTTTAGCCCAAATGTCTTAGCCCCATCACAGTAACCATTTCATTTTCTCCATTTTTATTTGTCAATATAAAAATACTCAAATATTTACAACAAATAAATACGCAGGGACACAATAAGTTACACTGTTAGGAGGTCTTCCTCCTAGGGCTGGAAGAGGGTATGCCAATGTCCACAGCAGGCCCACCCTGTCTTTCTTCTCTCCCTTCACACAGCCTTTCTCAGCCCTGTACGGGAAGAGGCCAAGTATAAAATACCACTGAACCCACCCTTCCCCCCAAACACACAGGAGGCTTCATCCCCCTCCCCCCACCCTGAAAACATTCACAGCCCCCCCCCCCACCCTGAAAACATTCACAGCCCTAGGAGCAGGACTAGGCCCACCCTGAGCCCTAAACTCCCCGTGAAGGGGCACAGCACCCTGCCCACCCCACCCCCATATGTACACTGCTGCCCGACACTCGGGACAGTGGGGGTAGGAGAGGCAAAGTGATACGACCCCTTCCCCTTCATAGCTCCAATGACTCACCAGGAGGACCCAGGCCAAGGGAAGACTTGACAGAAACAGGAAGGCTATGCTGCAGCCTGCACGCTCCTGCACACACACATACACACACACGTGCAAATACAGACAAACACACCCACATCTTGAAACTTCTGCCTTAAAAAGTTTTGGCGGCTGGGGTCCTGCGTGTCTGTGATTCACAGAGAGGAGGAAGATGCCTTCCGTGAGGCTGGTGCCCTGGTGAGCCACACCAAGTGGCAGTGCCCGTGCTGAGCAGAGCAGGTCCTCATGGCCGGGTGGGTGCTGGGCAGTGTCTGTCCCAGACACAGCAGGCGCCCGTGCCATGTCCCTGAGGTAGCTGGTACCTGTGCAAAAGTAGGAGCTACGCCTCCCATGCTTGCTGCTGAGGTGGTGGGGTTCCCCTCATACTGATGACTCCTCGGGGTTGGAGTCGGGCAGTGTCTGGCGCTGCTGCAGTTTGCGTCTCAGTTCATCTGCAAGCTCAGGCAGGGGGTGCCCGAGCCCTCCCCGGTCCTCCCCTCCTAGTTGTAAGCGTACGTAACCATTGGCATTAGAGTTCCGCCCACCCCCCAGGTGAAGCCGAGTTGGAGAAGGCAGAGGCTGGCCTGGGATGCCTGGAGGTGGTGAAGGGGGCCCCCCACCAGGCTGGCACCGGGCGTGCCCAGGCACTATCTTAAGGGAGCCATCTGAATAGTAGTAACCGACAGGATCCCAAAGTTTCTCATCTGGTTCAGGACAGGGCCGGAAGGGAGGACTGGTGGGCTCCTTGGGCAGCTCCAGGGGATACACCAGGGTCCTCTCAGCAGCCTTGGCCCCTTTCTCCAGCTCTTCCCGCAGCCGCCGGCGCAGTGACAGCACCAGCAGCAGCAGCACCAGGCACACGGCTCCCAGGGCCACCACCGCCAGCCACACCAGCCCCAGATTTTCCAGGGGGGCCCGGGCCTCCAAGGTCACTGATGGACCTGCCACGACAGCCACAAGGTAGCCTTCAGCAGCCAGCCGCTCCCCCTGCTCCTCCGAAAAGCAGTGGTAGGCCCCAGCATGGCGGGGCTGGGCGGCCATCACAACCAGGGCTTGGAGCCGGGCATCGTAGAGGAAGGAGCCGGGATGTTCCGCAGGCAGGTCCCGGCCCCCAAAGGTCCAGCGGGCATGGGCCAAGTTGGAGGAGAGGTGGCAGGGCAGCACCAGGTCTGTGCCTGCCACCACCGTGATGTTTTTGGGAGTGGGCCTGACTGTAGTGGCAGAGAAAAGAGTGAGGGTTAGTGCAGGAAACCAGGGCTGAGGAAGAGGAGAACAGAAACTCTGGCTCTGGTCCAAGGCACAGCCCAATGCCAGGGCAATACAAAAGCTCACCTTTCTTACTGCCACGGAGATTACAGATACCTGAGGTGTCCAAGATCATCACATGCTGGATCAGCAGGGATCTGGTAGGGAATGTAGGGTACATCAGCAGCCTGGCTCCCACCACCCTGAGTCCCTCCTGGTCCTGGCCTATGCAGAGCCCGACTCACCCAGAGTGGCCACCCACGGCCACACAGCGGCTGGTATTGACGTTCCAGGCACAATAGGGGTCTCGGGCGAGGACACAGTCTGCACAGGACCGGTACTTCATGCAGTTGGCCAGGGGCAGCTGCACCAGCTGAGAGCGGGAGCCGGCAAAGAGCAGCTTCTGCGAGAGAAGCAGGGTGCGGGGGTGGGGGTCAGCTAGGGCCACACCACAGGAGGGGCGGCCGGACCAGAACGCAGCGTGGGGGCAGCTTGGACTCCTACAGTGGGCACAGGATGGGGTGCCAGAAGGAGGAACGAGGCAGAGCTATAGTGCTGAAGAGGGAAATCTAAGAACCACAGAACTCAGAGGGCTTACACAGGCCAGACGCAATCCTAAGCCCCTTACAGATGTGACCTGATTAGAAAAGGATGATGGGGCTGCAAGGCCAAAAAGTATAATCTCACTCACTCACACGCACTTAGTGCAGGAAATACATTTCTCTCAAGGCCAGTCAGCCCTCACAACAGCAGCAGTGTAACATAAGATGTTTTCCCGTTTCAACGGTGGATGCTGATCTGTGTGTTTATTCAACCACACACTTTCTTTCTGCCATTATTCCATGTTCTGGGGGATAATTTTGATTCACAATAGTTGGTAAAAGGCAAACAAATCAAAGTTCAGGAGGGGTAGCAAACATGAAACAAGAGTATTGCACAAGGCAATGGGGCACAGCAGCTCATGCCTGTAATCCCAGCAATTTGGGAGGCTGAACTGGGTGGATCACTTGAGGTCAGGAGTTCAAGACAAGCCTGGCCAACATGGTGAAACCTTGTCTGTACTAAAAATACAAAAATTAGCTGGGTATGGTGGCACATGCCTGTAGTCCCATGCGAGGCTGAAAGAGGAGAACAGCTTCAACCTGGGAGGTGGAGGTTGCATGAGTGGAGATTACATTACCGCACTCCAGCCTGAGTGACAGAGTGAGACTCTGTCTCAAAAAAAAACTTTTAAAAAGAGTATTGCACAAGGGTATAATGCAAGCACTTAAGGGAAATGGTCACAGAAATGGAGGGTTGGGACCAGAGAGCAACTGGGGACTGCAAGGAAACCACCATGGTGAGGGCATCATAAACATTTCACAGCCTGGGAGGTCTGGTCACAGAGGCATGGTCAGGCAAGAGGCCAGAGCCAGAACCACAGCAAAGCTTGGATGGAGGGTCTGAAGGAAACATGGGAACAGTTGCCAAGGCTTGATGCTGGGAGTGCGGCCCCTGGCCCTGCAACCTGCCCTGTGCAGCGCAGACTGTTCCATTTTCATTCTTGTTTCCAGGAACCTACCCCAAGTTAGGCAAGGTGTGCACGCATGCATATCTGTGTCCCTACCTCTGCACTG